CTTTAGTAGTCGTAATGTCTAAATTGGGTTGGCTGTTCAACGACGGCTATAAAATAAAATAATAAAATATATAAAACATTTTGACGAGATGACTCAGAGAATAGTCGTTCGTCTTCCAATGAGGTGATTCGGATTCGAATCTCAGAGGTATCAGATCGATACGAATTCTGCATCCGGCTAGCACCGACCTCAGTGCTGACGTAAAATATCCTCAGTGGTAGAGGGATCGATCATGGGTTAAAGTCCCCTTGCCATCGAACTAACTGTGGGACGTTTTCGTGGTTCTTTTCTCCATGTAACGCAAATGCTGGTTAGTTCCATCTAAAAGTCCTCCACGATGGCAATTTCTCCCAATACTTGACCCAAGAGTTAACCTGGGATCAAAATTACAAAAATACGGAGTTGAACATTGGTCGTCGTAAACTGAAACAAAACGGTTGTCTGTTCAACAATGGTTTCAAACTAAAAAAATAAATAAAAGTTGTTGTGTAAGGGATGGAATCCCAGCGATGAGTGGTCGAAATGAATTCCGCACCTGGCTGCCACCGACCACAATGTCGACATTAAAATATCCACAGTGGTAAACGGATCATTCATGGTTTAATAAATCCCTGCTACCTGACTAGCCACGGGAGGTTTAATGATTTTCCTCTCCATTTAACGCAAATGCGGGTCGGTTCCATCAAAAAGTCCCTCATCAGGGCAAATTCTTATCCTTGCTAATGATCATCATGATTTAAGACACTTCGACTTGCATTGCATATTAAATCATATTATTAAATAAACGAAGCGTGAGGGAAGAAACATTGAGTTAAACTTGCCAGAAGGTTTAATGAAGCTTAATAAGAAAAAAGAAAAATTTGAAAGTAAATGAAAAAATATTTAGGAAAATGAAGAATTTTGATTACGGCTACCCTTCTACGAATTATAAGTTCATAATCACCTGTAAGTATTTGAACACCTGTGATGTGTGAAAAGATTTCTATGAAAACTTTATTTGCTTCTAATTGCTATATTTGCACTCCTCAAGTTGTAAAGACGATAATGATACTTCCATTAATTTTATTTTTTGTTTATTTTAAAGGAGCGGAAGATTAATTTCGAAAGCTGATGCCGCATCGTGAAAGAAAAATCAATGGATTTGATTACAATTCCATTATGATTTATGGAGAGGAGGCATTTTCATACGACGATATCCAAAAAACAATGGTAGCCAAGAAAAAAGGAGTTCGCCTCACTGATCCGTTCGAAAAAAAGGGGCTCAATCCTAGTGATGTATATAGAATCAATTTCTTGTATGATTGTTATAAATGATCAATAATTGTAGTATTTATGTGTCCCATATGATTGCAACAAATAAAAGCGTACAGATGATCTACAAATAAAGCAAGTAGATTAATCACATTGCTTCACATATTATGAGATATTTTTATTTTTTATTTTGACATGTATAACAAAATATCAGGCTATCTTAAATAAAACTGACAATTTAAAAAAAATTTAACAGAAAAAGGTTAAGATTAAATGGGGAAAAAAACTTCTTGAAGAAAATTAAGGTTAAAGAGTATAAACTTTTTCTCTCAGGTTTTCTAGTTTTAGTTCAAAAAAAGCACCGGTAGAGAACGCTGCATTAAGTAAACAGGAAAATAAAAGATAATTAATTGATAACTACATAACAATATATTTTGAAACATTCACCATCCACTGCAATTACATTCCTTAATGTGACTTGTTGATAATTTATATATGCAAGTAGACTTACCGAGTGTACTATACAGGATGTCCCGTAAAGACCACCCTTATTATGTATTTTTTTTAAATTTTTATCAAAACTAAAAAGTGTACACATTGGGGTTTACAAATTGACATGTCAGCGAAGAAAAACAATAAGGCTATTGAAATCTAGCAAATCACAGTATAGAGCAGAGAATGAAATAAACATCAAAACAGGTTTAATGGGGGGGGGGGGAGTTGGACCACCTATCTCGGTGGTGTTGATTCAACCCTGTCTTCTTGTTTATTACATTCGTTTTCCAGTACTGTGAATTGTCAGATTTTGATATCGGTATTTTTTTTCTTCTCTTAAATATTAATAAGCGACTTCCGATGCGCATTTTGTTGCTCTCATTCTTATAAGGGTTCTAAAAATACATAATAAGAGTGGTCTCCACGGCACTTTAAATATCTGGAATATGTACAAATATTCAGGACTACAAAATAGAAACAATTTGCATCCTTATCTCATATAATAGTCTTTGTTATAATCATGCTATTATTTGATTATTTCGCAATTATCATTTTGAAAAGAAAAATAAAATTTCGTTTTTTTTCATCGTCTTTATAGCTGAGGATAATAAAAATTTTTATTTTCTTTGAAAATTGATAAATCGTGTAATTTTAGTGCGGGGGTATATAGAATGAAATTTGCTATTACAATACTTTGTATTAAATTAGAAAGTATTATAGTAAACTAAGTATAGTAATAGAAACTATTACTATACTTAGTGCCGTAATGTATAATAATAGTTTCTTTTTTCTATCAATGACAATTGTCAAATGATATGCGAAGGTGACCATTTTTGTTCCTTATACTACAAATTTCAGCTTATCTAATTTCTCTTAATGCAGCAGTTCTGCTAAAATTCAATATTTTAGAAACAAAATGAATTCAAACCAAGATTTTTCAATAAAAAGTAAGTTTCTCATAAAATTGAAATTGTTATATTTTCCTCAAATCATAAATGTAAAATAATTAAAAAAAAAAGTATAGCAAAAATAAGTTTGTTGATAGGTTACATGAGACTTAAAAGGCAAAAAAAAAGCATATTCTCCACAATTAATTTTTAATAATATAAAAACTACTTAATTCAATTTTTAAGTAGGAAGGCAGATTCTTTATTTTCGTCGCACTAGAGCTGCAAAATGGGCTACGTTCTGGGAAACATCTCTGAGGATGATTCGAAATTTTAAAGTTCAGACAATTAAAAACAGAACACCATTTGAGCAATATTTTGAAATTTTCTTTTCTACAAACTATTTTAAACTCCAAACGTTTTTGAAGACACTTTTGATACAAAAGTTACCTCACGGTGAAAAGAATTACTCATGATTGTTTTATATCAAATCCAAAGCATCATATACATATTTATTTAGTAGTTACATTCTTTAAAAAATTAAAGTTTATTTTTTGAGTGATTTGATTAAAAAAGGGGTAATTTTTCTAAAATCTAGATAAAGCGTTTGCCAAGTAAAATAAATTTTAAAATAAAATAGAACAATCCCTTCAATTAACAGCATAAATTTATGCGATAATAATAATTTAAAAGCTATTAAGTGTATCAGTGCTATTAAGGTGAGGCCACACACTAAGGAGGCAAGTGGTTAGTAAGAGAGGGGCAGTAACCATATTTTAGCATTAGCATGCGCACATCATCTCTGCGCATCCTATGCGTTCGCCTTTTATCCTTACCGCTTGCCTCGAGAGTTTGTGGCCTGCCTAATATTTCCCATTTTACAGCCTTCAATTTCATAAAAAAATTAACAAAAAATGGACAGTTAAATTTTTGTTCATTCTTATTTATTTATTGTTTTCCATTTATTATTATCAATTATCATTTATTTATTTTTATTTATTATTATTCATTTGTTATTGTTATTTATTTATTATTTGTTTATTATTATTCATCGATTGGTATTTATTTATTATTATTTACAATCAAATAATTTTCTTCGATACTGATCCTATTTGAGGGGTCTCAAAAGCCTCTTTTGACACTATTTATATTAAAACTGCACCAATTATTATGATACCAATAGTGCCTATCACCAAAATTGAACATCATTAGTAATAATGTGGCTATTTTTTACGTTTCTTCTAAATTAATTAGTACAATTTTTTTCATTAATTTTGTCTTTAAGTAAGTAGCTTTTTTTTTCTTTCAATGACCATTGATTTTAAATTATTTAGTTTCTCAGATATATGTTTTAAAAGCGTAACTATAAGCAAATTAAAAATTAAGATTTTAGGCAACTTTAAAAATACTAATTTGGTGAAATAATCCATCGATGCTACCACGTTCTCACGTAACGAATAAAAAATAGTTAAATATTTACGAATCTACAAGGAACCCTGTTTTGAGCTAAAAACTAGCAAACATTTCTTATGTTGTTTTTAGAATATTTCATAAAACTGAATCATGTGTGGTTAAATTCAAAATAATTCCAAACCAATAAATAGTTCAAATAGTTCTAAACCAATAAAACAATTTCATTTTTTAAACGCCCCTCCCAAATAATTTTTATGATCGGAACTGAAATTCTCCCTTTCATCCACTGTCCAAATTTCAAGACCATAGCACAAACAATTCTAAAGATATAAGAGAAACGCTCATAGTACACAATCCCGCACAAACTCCACATTTTATTAATGATAATTATTTATTAATTATCCCATGTAATTATATTAGTTTATTTGAATATGATTTATTATTAATTTTCTCCAAAATTATTTTAAAAATTACTAAAGATTAAGTTTATAAGAAAGATTACACACCTAAAAATACTGCGCGAAATTTTGTTAGATAATAATTTATATTTTAAGATTATTTTTTAATAATTTGGAATTTAAATTTGAGTGATTAGAAAATAATGATAGGTTATTACTGTTGGAATTTAAAAGTAAAAGTATGATAAGAATTACAACAAAGTTCAAGATTATGAAAATGTCAACACAGCTAAAAATTCTGCTCGAAATTTCGTTAGGTAATAGTTTATATTTTAAGTTTTTTTTTAATATGTTGGAATTTAAATTTGCATGAATAAAAAATAGTGATGTTATTACTGTCGAAATTTAACAGATGTAATAAAAGATATCAAGTTATTATTCTGAGCTTAGTGTAGAATCGTAAAGATATTTTGTAAACTTTACAGGTGGTGATTTTTCTTTAGTGTATCTTATCTCAAACTTTTAAATAATAGACTATGATTTCAATACTCACGATGCCTTTAAGTCAAGATTTCCTTGCATTAATCATTTCGGCATTTGGTCTAGTTTACAAACATGCTGATTTTTATATTAGCTTTTTCCTTCGGATTAGCATGTGAGTAGCATTTCAAACTTCACATGGCATAGTTTTATTCCAATCAGAAAATAAATTGTATTATGTCATGATACCATTTTTTTCCAACTAAATATATTAATTTGTTTCTCAGCACAGTTGGATGACATGTCAAACTATATTGAGATGAAAATGTATAACATAAAAATAAGTAATTAGTTTTTAAAAAAATTTAAATCTTGTCATAGTGAAGTAAAAATAATCAAATGCAAAGATGGTTTAATTAAAAAATATTATTTTTGGTCGGGTAAAATTTTATTTTATAACCGACGTTGAAGAGCAGACTTGATTTTAAGTTTATTATTATCAATGTTCAACTCCGTAGCCTTTTAAAACCCAATCCATAAGCCAAGAGAACTCCTAGATCAAGTATTGAGACAAACTAGCCTTCGTGGAGGACTTTTTTGATAGAACTAACTGCATTTGAGTTACATGGAGAGGAAAATCACGAAAACCTCCCATGTTGAGCCCGATGGCAAGAGACTCTAACCCACGATCATCTACCACTGATGGTATTTTACGTCAACACTGTGGTCAGTGCGTGCAGGGAGCAGAATTCTTATTAATCTGCTATCGCTGAGATTCGAACCTGGGTCCCCTCATTGGAAGGCTTTCCTTCGTAAAATTGATACTCTAGGTAATTATTCCCCAGAAAGCACTTGCGTTTTAACCCTTTCACTGCCAACCAAGTATTGATTGTTATCAATCATTGAAGAGTGTTATCTATTGCAGGTTGTTATCTATCATTTTAAAATCTATCATTGAAGAGTGTTAATCTATAACGATTAAATCTTAAAGTTAAATTTTCTTATTTTAGCAACCATTTCAGTTTTTATAATTTACGAAAAGTTTATTTTAATAAACAATATGTTTGGTCATGCGCAAAGATCATGTTTAATGCAAAGATAGGTCGATAATAATGTGCATCTTGCAAAAATTTGATTTGTTTTATTGACATAAACTGTAGGGAAGAATTTCGTTCGAAGAAGATCACTCTCCATGGCGTGATCGGCAACAAGAGTGTTTATAAATTACAATTATTTATTCTTATTTTTATTTGTGTCATTAATATTAATTGATGATTTAATAAATTTTGTAATTTGTGTGAAAAAGCAGGATGTTGATACCATCCTTTGATGAATTATTTAATATCGGTATATTTCAGTTGATATCCATGTTTAAACAAGTTAAACTTATTAATACCTATTCAGCTTATTTCCAAAACGTTATTAGTTTGTTCATTTCTTATCCGATAAGAAATTTGACTTTGCTATTCGTAAAAATTCACATAAAAAAATTAAGTAAGTATTTGTCTCAAGAATCCAATTATAGTTCGTTTACCTGGAGTTGGCACTTGGCTCCACCTCCGTGGACGAAGAGTTCATATCAGCTAGGGAGTGAGAGGAGAAATGTCTCCACGCTTGAAATTGAGACAACCCTTAATGCACTCCAGACGCAAATAATGAATTCTTTTGCAGTCACTTACTACGCTTTATCATCTGCTGTTACACCTTTCGTTACTCTAGCTAATTAAATATATTTTAAATTTGAAAACTGCTGTTTTACCAGCAAAATGATTCGAAAAGGGCAAACTATTCACTCAAAAGAAAGAAATATCAAATTCATGACATATTTAATGCTAAAAAAATGTACATAAAGATTTCGAAATAAATATTTTTGTCATACGATGGCCAAATAGCAACCTTGTTCAGAATTGTTCACATCCTTCTTCCAAAAATAGCGAAATAGTATCGTCGGATACCACGTGACGAAGGAGGAGCCAAGTGCTAACTCCTGGTGAACGAACTATAATTCTTGGGTATGAATATTGAACAATTTTCAGGAATTTTATGTAAGTAACAACATTCGGACATAATTTATTTGTGCTGAGATTTTTACCGTTGGGAGCAAAGGGATTTGACCGTAATTCTAAAGTTCAACAATTTCATTCTAAGGCTTAATAAATAGGTTTATTTACTTTTTTACCAAAATGGAATAGCACTTGGAAGAGAACAGGAATTGCCGATTCAGGTAACATTGTATCAAAGTCGATCCTGTTGATTCTCAGGTTAAGGGACCACCTGAATCTGAAACTTTTTGAAACTCAACCTACCTAATGTCCCAAAGTAATGTCAATTTTATTTATTTAATTTACTGATTTATTTTCTTATTTAGTACCCATTGACAAAATGGGTGTTGTTTTGGGTTTGATGGCGTGTGCACGTTATTTAGACGCCATCACACTTTTCAACTGTGTTCGAGAGTAATAGAAAACAGTGCGTATGCGTTGCTATGGCGACGGTTGTTGTTTGTTTATTTTTTTATTTTCTCCAGAAGGCATTTTCAGTGTATTTACATAATAATAATTTAAAGTATTTTTATACTAGTTTTATTATTAACTTACAATTACTATCTTGACGGTGATTTTAATATAAATATGAATACTGAAGAAAGAAAAGTATTTTGTGACGTCTTAAGACACATGTATAGGCAGGACCAATCTGACGAGAAACATCAATTGAGACAGTTTTTGCAACCCATGATTTGAAATGTTGTGATGTTTATCGAAGTCAATAAAGAAAAGAAAAAGACCATTTGACCAATGGAATAAAGCGATCACAATTTTTAACTTTTTTGTTTACTTTTTTATTTTCTTATTTATTTATTTATTATTAGTATTATTAATAATAACAAAAATAATATCATTATCATTAAATCTTTAATTTTAATTTTAGCACCATTTTCACCAGAGTAAAACGGAATATTAATTATAGTTTCTTGAATGCTTGCAGTTTAAGTAGGTTTTTTTTCATTATATTTCAGGGGGAAGTCAAAATAATCCAATGGAAAATCCAGATCTTTTCTTAGGGGATATAGCTGGCATAGACATTGAAGTAAGAAGTTAATACTTTTGCTTTAAAAAAAATGAATAATTAAGCTAATTTTTAAGTACGCAGTTTACCAACTGAAATAAGTAACAATTAGCGTAACTTTAAAAAGTGAATTTTATAGTTTAAAAGTGAAACCTAGGTTAAGTAAAATGTCGAAGCGTTATACGATGAGACGGCCTACCGAAGTGCGAAGTTAGCATTCTTTTCTTAACTTTATTAGATGGGATAGAAAAGTAAAATGCAAAGTTACAGAGCATTATTGATTTAGCTCGCCTTGATTCAGAAATATTAATGTTAAGAAAAAAATATGTTTTAAACACACATTTGTTCATTTACACCGTGATGTGACTAAATAATCTAAATTTAAAAACTACATTTCGATCATTAAAACATCATAAGTTGAAAATTAAAAAATTAGAACACATCTTAATTTTCAATTTTGATATTAAATAAAATTATGATAACTTAATAAGAGGAAGTTATCTCATAATAACAACGTGTTTGTTTTTTGTTAGATAATTTTGGTTAGTTTGCGTCAATTATTTTTAGTTTTACTCTTAACATGAATGAAATCGACAATGATTTGTTGGATTTTAAGGCTAATAATTTCTTTTTAGCAATGTCTTATAAACTATAAAATCAGGAATCATTAATTCAGGAAACTCTCACTTTGATTGAGAATGATTCGATTGTTTCGTTTGTATTCATATTAAAATTATACTGGCTGAAACAGTTTAGCGGTAACAAACTCTGTGGGTTGGTAAAGCATATCATAAAAGTAGAGAACTATATAGAAACCCACAATACCCAGTCGTATGGCTCTAAATGGGCCCCTGCAATGGTTGTACCTGTGAGTTTAAAATTGTAAATTTAACTGTCCAAATCACATTCACTCTATGCTAATTTTAAGTTTTGCTAAAAATATTGTCATATTTTCCCTTCTAATACACTCAGAAATAGCTACTGTAAATAATTTATACATTTAGCGACTAACTAGTCGTGAAAAAAGTAATCTCTTATGGACTAGAGCAAAGGGAACCACGAATGACTTGGCTGTGACAAATAAAGATAGATTTTAAAAGAAAAAAATTTAAAGGATAAGAGAAGGTTAGATCCCAAGCCAAAGACCAGGGGGCATGGAGAAGAAGGCTGGATCATGGCGTGAAGAGCCTAAATAAGTAATCGAGTAGCTAATAGTCAAACCATCAAGTAGTCAAATCGATAAAAATCCTAACTTTTTGCCAATTGAATACAATTTTTGCAGCAAAATATGAGTTAAATAAATGTAACGTTTCAAATGCACAAGACAAAGAGTACATTACGAAGAGGCTCCCCTATCGGCATAAGAGGACATTTCAGCATAAGTTGCTATGTAATTCTAAATTATTGTGGTGTATCTTACCTACCCTTCAAGTTTCTAACCACTGTATAGAATCAGCCGGTGTAATTAAACTCTTCTGTATTTGACAGGATAGAAATGCAATCACATCTGAGCGACAGCGATGGACAAATGGTGTTATTCCTTACAATATAGACCATACAGCTAGTAAGTACTCTTATTTTATTTTTTTAATCAATATACATAATGACCATGTTTAATATAGAATTGTAGAATTCTTGTCAGGGATGAAGTAAAATAAGTATTCCCATTATGGGTCGGAAATTAGTATTCAATCAAAAAATAAAAATAAACTAATTATCAAACATCTGACCAATCATGAATGAGAAAAGGTATACTTAAATATCAAAACATTTTTGATTGCTGAAGACAAATTTGCTAAAAAAAATTTTGTTGTTGTTGCTAATTCCCATCTGGTCTGACGGGGTCAGACCAGATCAATGAATCCGTTGATATTAAGAAAATCCGAAACCAGAATGGGAGAGGAATGAATGTCGTTCCAGTCCAGCCCTAAACAGTTCAAGATGTGCTCAGGTGATGCCTGGTTTTGTTGGCATTTAGGGCAAAGAGGAAGGATCTTTTGATTTGCAGAAAATGTGAGACTTTTCAGGTGTCCACTGGCCAGTCGGGATAAGCAGGTGTTGGTTTGCCTGTCACCAGGAAGAGATAGAGAGAGACCTGGTCTTTTTGCTTTATACCAGTAGTGAATAGGTGGAAGCAGCCACTTTTGTTTGTTCTGGGCCTTTTGCCTTGCAAAAAGTTCAAGGTATGTAAGCTCTGAGGTGGAGGGGACTGAATGGTCTAGTCCCTTCTTTGCAAGAGTGTCAGCCAACTCGTTGCCGTGGATATCGACGTAAAAAATGTTTTTTTACCTCCCGATGGTGTTCCTGCCTTGACGGGGCGGTGAGGCTTGAGGGCACCAATGACCCGGAGGGCTATGCCGGAGGTAGCTTGCTACTGGTAGGGTCTCCCAAGCCGGACAGGCCGAAGGGTAGGTGCCAGACTAAAAAGAACACCACCAGGAGCCGAGACAGTCTTCTACCTCACGGTGCTCCGGTCTTTGGACAACAGAAGCTACATACCCCCTCCCATGAATCAGTTGAAATTTTTTTTTTTATATATTTGAAGTCATTTGATCGCGGCATATCGCTAATATTTTTTTTAATCAAAAATCAGAAAATAGGCTGTGAAAAAAGGACATTCAAAACTAATTTGGGGGATTTCATCAGCATCTAGCATACACAGTAAAAAAAAATTCGTCCGAATTTTATTAAATTCAACGTCAAAATTAGTGGTAACTACTTTACACCAAAGTTGTTTAGTGAAACACCATACATAACTCTTGAATCTAGAGTTTCACTACACCAATGTTCTTTCACGCTCATTGCTGTAAAGTAGCCACCACCACTTTTGTTATTCAGTTCAAGCTCTGTTTAAAATCTTAGTTTTTAATTAGAATTATTATGACAATCTTAAGTAACAAGTTATTTTTATACTTTTCATTTTGATGATTCTTTTTTTTAAAAAATGAGACCTGTCAAAAAACTTTCTAGATTACGAATTATTTTAAGCTAACTTTTTGTTACGATAAGAAGCATCAAAATACTTTGAGCGTAACAAGCTTTACGGACGCTTATAGTCAGGTATGCCGACTACATCACTTTCGGCAATAGATTTTCTGAAGAGGTAGAGAATAAAACACTAAACTTTGTCCAATTTCTCTTGAACTTTAAATGGCTCATCCCAAAATAGCATGAAATAAGGGAAATTTTTGTTTTAACTATTGAACTCTCAAATTACACTAGCGTTAAAAAGTTAAGCATAAATATGTAAATTTATTGTCATAAATTTACACATTTAAAAGCATAATAGCATAATTTAAAAGCATGAAAGCATAAATGTGTAAATTTATGATTAAGTTTGGACAATAGTGTATGTAGTGGTGGGCAAGCAAACCTTATATCAAATTTACAAAAACATGAATAGCGCATTTTAACATTAATTTTGTTACCACTTAAGAACGCTTTCTCACGAAACGGGAATTGGTATCTTTGCTTAGTTTTTACAAAATCCACTAACAAAAACATGAATCGTACATATCAACTTAAATTTTGATACCGTTATAAAAACATTTCTCACAAAGCAGAGCAAATTGACATCCCTACCTAGTAAATTTGAAATGTGCAAATTTATACTTAACTTTAGGACACTAGTGCACGCGTAGTGGTGCGCAAACAAACCTTATATCAAATTTGCAAAAACATGAATAGCGCATTTTAACATTAATTTTTCTACCACTTAAGAAAGCTTTCTCACAAAACGGGAATCGGTATCTTTGCTTAGTTTTTACAAAATCCACTAACAAAAACATGAATCGTACATATCAACTTAAATTTTGATACCGCTATAAAAACATTTCTCACAAAGCAGAGCAAATTGGCATCCCTACCTAGTAAATTTGAAATGTGCAAATTTATACTTAACTTTAGGACACTAGTGCACGCGTAGTGGTGCGCAAACAAACCTTATATCAAATTTACAAAAACATGAGTCGCAGATTTGTAACATTAATTTCTCTATTACTAAGAACACCATTCTCACAAAGCGAAATTGACATCTTTGCTTAGTTTTTACACAATCGATTAACAAAAACATGAATCGTACATTTCAATTTCAATTTTGCTACCGCTAAAAAAAAAAAAAGATTTCTCAGAAAGCGGAGAAAATAGACATCTCTTCATAGTTGGTAAATCAGAATGTGAAAGCTGAGTGGAATTAATTTCATTTATAACATAAGAATGTAAAACTTTCCGTTACTGTAACAGAGGACTTAAAAAGTTGCAATAGAATAATACGGTACTTGCAAAAGATTGGCTATAAAAATTAAAGTACGATTATAATATAACTGGTTTAACTGTATCGCATTTTATAAAAAGAAGAAAAGAAAGAAAAAAGCAGTTTATTCTTGAAAATTGGAAACTATGTACGATGACAGTTAATGAACGATTATAATATCATATGTTTTATTATATCGTGTCTTATAAAAAAAAAAACTCCTTCTTGAAAATTGGAAGCAATTTCGAAAATGTGTCCCTTATAATAGGTTTTCTCAAAAAAATTATATTCATATTCTGTGATAATATTTTATATTGTGGCAAAACATACACCAGAGTATATTTAATGAAAATAAATTAAATTTTGAGAAATGACTTCATGTTTTGACATGCAATTTTATTTCCTATAGGTCGATTAGCATACGTAATAGGAATGGTTATGAATCATATATCTAATAAAACTTGTATTACATTTAAAAAACGCACAAACGAAGAGGATTACATTAATATTTTTCGAGGACAAGGGTAAGTAAGACAAATAATTAATTTTTCAAACAATATTTTAAAATTTTGAATTTACCAAACAAGCTAGAAGTTGTGTGTTTCTATAATAGCAACCACTGAAAGTTTCTGAAATGCAATTTATCAATATTTTTCAGAAATAAAAAATTTAAAGTTTGATACATTATCAATGTACAGATGATATCTGATATTTAGCTTTGAAATTAGTTTCTAAAATGTCCGGCAATTGTAGGATCATAAAGACACGATTTCCAGTAGAACATCGAAGTCAAGCCTCACTAACTGCTGTCAGTGATGCTTGTTTTGATCAGCCTGCGTAGGCAATGAGGGTACACGGTTATCAGTCTCGTTAAGCTATTCTACACATAAAGTACTCGACATCACGTGCAGGTCGTCGGGCTCCCAAAAAAGAAGTGCCATTTCCTTTGCAGAAGATCAAAATTGATATGGCATGTCTTTGGATCATCTTCAGATGTGCTTCCCAGACCGTCTTCAATAGCCCATTGGGTGAGTTTTATCTCCCATATTTTCAACGCAACCCTACATCCAACTTTTGATTCGTTGTCTCTTTATGTATTAAATATAAGTTTGTGTAGTAGATCATTATGTATGAGATCTATAAGATCACGCGTGAAGTTAGAATATCAAAAATGGCAGATTCGAGTTTCGAAAGTAGTGCCAACGAAATACACAATTTCAAAAATTTAAATTTTCTTATAAAACTTCCTTATATCTGAATTATATTAGTTTATTGTATTACTCCCATGTTGTGAGACCGACCCTACATCTACTTTCGATTCGCCATCTCTTTATATATAAACTATGATTTTGTTTGTTAGATATTTACGTATAGCATCTTTAATATCACACGTAAAGCCAGGATATCTAAAAATGGCAGATTCGGAGTTTTGAAAGTACTGCCAACAAAAATTTAAATTTTTATATAAAAATTCATTGCATCTAAATTATGTTACTCTATTGTATTAACCCCCCATTGTCAACCCGACCCTACATCCTACTTCAGATTCGTCATCTCTTTATAAATTAAATATGATTTCGTTTATTAGAGATCTATGTATGAGATTATTAACATCACACGTAAAGCCAGAATTTCTAAAAGTGGCAGATTCGAGGTTTGAATATAATGCCAAAAATGTCCAATTCCAAAAATTTATATTTTCATATAAACTCTCATGACATTTACGTTATATTACTTCTTAGCAGCCTTATACGAATCAGCCTTTTAAATACACCTGTTTGTAGAAACTCAACTGCCTTGGGTTTAATGATTTCAAGTGATTGCAATCATAGAACTCAATTCAACTTTCAAATCTATATAACCCTGTTGGGGAGATCACAATGGGAAATGAGATCCGGGGGATCATAATTTTTTAACATAAAAAAGTTCTAATAAAAATTCCAGATAAACCCATTTTTATGCTTTTTGACAAGAATGAATGTAATTTTTTTTTGTAAAGGGATGTGATTACCGAACATTTCATATAAATGGAACAATGTTGTTAAATAATTTTATGTTACTTTATACACTTTCAGGTGTTACTCTCATTGGGGTAAAACAGGAGGCATGCAACCTTTGTCTCTTGGCGTAGGTTGTGAACCATTTGGAACCATTCTCCATGAACTTAACCATGCCATTGGATTTGCTCATGAGCACAGCAGATCTGACAGGGACAAATATATTTTCATTGAGCGAGAAAATATCAAGGAAGGTATGGTTGAATTCCATTATTGAAAATTTTATTAGGAATGACAAAAAAAATTAGTTTTTTTGTTACTCAAATCAATTCTTAACTTACATCTACGCTTCCGAAACATGTTTTACAATGAAAGTATCAGATATAAAGCACGTAATAGCACTTAAATCCACACTTACATTGCGGAAGAAAATATCAAGGACTGTCAGCTTGAAATCTATTACTTAGAATTTAATTGCGAATGACAAAAAGAATTAAATAAGTTTTTTTTTTGTCAGTCAAATCATTTCATAACTTACATCTACGTTTCTGAAGCATATTTTACAATAAAAGTAGCCAGGTTCGAGTCCTGTCACGGACGCATAACACAATATTTCTGATGCACGTTAAATCTGTCGAGTCTCAAAGTCCTCCATGTTCCCACAACAAATCAATACCTCTGGGGGTACTGATCCAGGAGTTTCCTTGTCTTCTGGATTGGTTCAAAATTACAAGGCTACGGAGTTGAACGGAAGTAGTCGTAAACCCATGAAATTGGGTCGGCTGTTCAACGACGGTTATAAAATAAAATAAAAGTAGCAAAGATAAAACACTTAAATGTTTCACTACAAAAAGAATACCAAGGGCTTCAAATTTGCTTGTACTTCGTTACTTTAATCTCGGTTATTTTATCAAAATGATCAACTGTGTTTATGAGTAAAATTTCTCTTAATTTAATATTTCCTTTTTTCCCATTTACAGGATTTGAAAGCCAATTCGTGAGACTAAAGAAGGACCAAAACAGATTAATCAATAAATTTGATTACGATTCTATCATGCTTTATGGTGAAAATGCATTTTCTAAAAGTCTTTATAAAAAAACAATGATTCCATTAAAAAAAGGAGTTAAACTAGTCGGTCCCCATGCGAAAGATGAGATGAGTCCTAGTGATATATACAGAATCAACGTACTGTATGAATGTAAGGATTATCTGTAAACTGATTTCTTTGCTGTGTAAAAATAAAATGTGATGTAATAGGAAAATAAAAGAATATTTAATTATAGTATATGTTTAGAGAAAATTAATCAACTTACACTTACCACTTAACACATTAATGTAAAACGAACAAACTTATAAGATACTTTTTATTTATTCATATAACTAAGAGGCTTCGTTTAAAATCTCTGTCTCCATAAGCAATATGAGATGAATCCTAGTGATATATGCAGAATCAATGCACTGTATGAGTGTAAGGATTATCTGTAAACTGATTTCGTTGTTCTGTAAAAATGAAATGTGATGAAGTAGAAAAATAAGAGGATGTTTAATTATACATGTTTAGAGAAAATAAATAAACTTACACTAACCACATTAATGTAAAATGAACAAACTAATAAATTAATTTTCATTTATTTATATAACTAATAGGCTTCGTTTAAATCTCCGTCTCCATAAGAAATCTGATATGAGTCCTAGTGATATATGTAGAATCAATGTACTGTATGAGTATAAGGATTATATGTAAACTAATCTCTTTGTAATGTAAAAATAAAATGTAATGATGAATTATGTTTATTACAATGCACGTTTCGACTTACATTTATAATGCCACACAAGAATGGCACACACAAAGTAGAAATGCATAAAAGTGGCATTCTTTATCGACTTGAATTTATATGAAAAGAATTTTCTAATGCAGTCTATTACACATAGAGTGCTTTATTTTATTTTTATTTTTCTTAAAAAGAAAACGTCATGTCGATTATAAGGTGTCTGAAATTACAGTTTCAATTTTTTAATTTAAAATTTCGGGAGAGATTCATTTCAATTTCTTGCAACACCTATTTTTAAAATAAGGAAAAAATTTGTTTTGAAACCATGTAACTTGTTTTCGTCAGTAATTTTTCTAGCTTTCTTAAAACGTTCGGTTAAATTACTTTACTGTAGGAGTATCCTCTAGAACCTCTAGACTCATGCCGGCGATTTGACAATTAGTTCTAGAATTGTGAATGTTTAAATTTGTAACGGGAAAATACCATATTCGGTCAGTCTTCACTCTTTGAAATGCAATTACGGAGTTAAAAGTCGGCATTTTTATTTGTGAACTTAGCTCTAATTTTGTTTCGAAAATACCAGTTTGTTCAAACGTTATTGCAATTTTGCGTGCTTCTCCCTAATTTCTTCCCAGCGTGTTTGCTATGTATATGATCATCTATCCAAAGTTGTTGAAAATTTATTTCCCTTCGAAAGATCTTTATCTTTTTATAATATAAACTCGCTCTCGAGTAAATGGCTTCAAAGAGAGCAACAAAAAAGGGCATAAATATACAGAGAGAGTACATGTTGCCAGATATAAATCTTAATATTTATATTGAAATTATTAAAAATAAAAAATACTTAATAAATAGCTCTCAAAACCGTTCCCAGTTAAAATTGTCATCAGTCACGTCCTCCTCCGTGTTATTAAAAATATTTAAAAGCTTTGCAACAAACATATTTTTTTTTTTAAAGATCATTAAGAATATACAAATTTCGAGATAAAAAACTGTGAGTGATTTCATTTATTATCCCGATTTGTTATTACATATTTTAAGTTTCAATAGTTTTTAACATTCTGGGATTTATTATTCATGGATTTAAATTCGTAAAGAATTCAACAGATGTTATAAAAGATATATTAAGTTTTTATTCCATGCTTTGTGTAGAATAATAAAGATATCTTGTAAATTTTACAGGTGGTGATTTTTCTTAAGTGTATCTTATCTAAAGCTCTTAAGAAGTAAATGAAGATTTTATAAATCACAATGCCTCTAAGTCAAGATTTTCATGAATAATCGATACGGTATTGAGTCTAATTAACAAACATGCTGATTTTTATGCTGATTTGTTTCGTAGGATTAGCATGTGAGTAATGTTTCCCGTTCTATTTTACATATTTAAGTTCGATCCAGAGAATGAAATTGTGTCGAGATTTTTATCATAATGTCATTTATTATTTTATCACCTAAACATATAAGCATGTTTTTAATCACAAATGGACATTATGTTAAATAATATTGATACGATGATGTACATTGCGCAAAAAAAAACGGACCACACTGAATAAATTTTAATCTGATGACCGGATCTTCACGTTCTAGGACTCAATCTTAATGGTTTGAGGGGGTGACTTCAAATATGCTAATTAATTAGTACAAACGATAATTAAAGTTACGAAATCTGACACAAACACGTACTTTCTCTGAATAAACATACCTTTTCCCCATGCGATCCGGATTTCTGACCTCAAAATGTAGGGGATAGCCACAATCTGTGAAATATGGTACCAATTATTTGCTCAGTAGAGTGGTACAAAGTTTGTACCCCTTAATGTTAATTTTACTTCTTGCGTATTTCGCTAATTTCGAGAACTTTTGTATCGAATGGGAAAATTTTTGCACTAAATTATAAAATTCGTTTTTTCAAAGATAATTCCATGCAAAGTATAACTTTAAAAAAAATCTTTATCATTTTATTTAAGAATAGTCGTAAATATTTTGAATTATAAGGAATAAACATATTTTCAGTATTTTAAAGAATGTGCTTTTAAATAGCAAAATATTAAATTTGAGAAAAATCCATGGAATAATTCCTGAGAAATCATATTTTTATAATTTGATTTCTCAGGGCACGATTCGACCAATTTTTCCATTCTGTAATTTAAAATTGCGTTTTTAAGATCATGCAAAAATATTCAAATTTTTTTTAATAAAATGATAAAAATAATAAATATTTACTAATTTTTCAAGCATGAAATTATCTTTGGAGACATAAATTTTATAATTTAGGGCGAAAATGTTTTAATTCGTTTAAAATGTTCTCGAGATACAGCGAAATACGCAAAAAGTATGAAAACATTAAAGGGTTCCAAACTTTGGACTATGAGGACCATATTTCCCAGATGGCGTCTACCCACTTTAAAAATGAAAAAAAATAGGCCAGAAACCTGAATCTGTCGAAAAAAATGCTTTTTTATTCAGAGAAAATACGTCTTTGTGTAATGTCTTAAATTATCGCCAGAACTAATTAATTAGTACATTGGAGATCTCCCCCCCCCCCAAGATTGAGTCCTCTTTAATCTTCATCTTTCATAAAGAAAAAAGAGGAAAAAATATTATGGGTAGTACTTATGGAATACACTATAAATAAAAATTAGAGAAAATATTCTAAGAAATAAAATTCCAGAACTCATCTAAATCAAAAATACTAACTTCTCAGAGATTATGGGTTTAAAATATCCTCTGAAAATTTATATTATTTTTCAATAAAATTAAAATAAACACCTCTTCAGTTGCGTAACGAGCACACTTTAACAAAAGTCAATTACTTTTTCGAAAATTAATAACATGGTTGACAATTTTTAAAAATTCAAAAAATGAATAAATATTTCCCAATTTTTAAATCTTTAGAGCTGTAAGTTTCGTCAATGTTTTTCTCAAAAAAGAATCAATATTTTGATTCCTGCAGTAAATCTGTGCATTCATTTGCTTGTATATCAATTATAACATCTTCTATAGTTCTCCATGTGTAAAATTGTAAAGAACAAACATTCAAAAAAATATCGAATGCTGATGTAAATAACGTGATGTAAAAATTTTAATTTTCGAAATGCTGTTTCATTTCACAATTTTATTTTAGGCTTACTGTGAAAAAAATTACCTTAACATTCTAACTTCAACAGAAAAAATCCTTAAGAATTCCAATAATAAGTATTTAAACATAAAAAAAAACCTGCCTGTGAAAAATTTTGCGTTTGCTGTAAAAACCACTGCCTTTATTACAAAAAAACTTACGAAACTTTACAAATAAGGCAGTTATAAATAAGGAGTATAAGCAATAAATTATTTTTCTATACTTTTGCTTATGTTTGCTTAATGTGATGCCTTAAAATTAAATTATGACACCTAATAATTAATTTTAATGTCATAAAAAGTTCAAATTCTTCAATTCGTAACGACTTTATCATAAGATACACTATGATATGTTTATTTACTTTCTGTACCAAAATTGCGAAATTTAACTTGCAGTATAATTATGTAGTTTAGATGGCATTAACCCGAGACCTTTTCTGCAGATCGTTATTAAATTGACTCTCACCTGAATCTAAAAATTCTTGGCATATCACCCACTTTTAATCAAAATTGTGCAATTATAATTAATATTGTTTAAAGGTTTTTGAGGAAGAAAATATAAGGTTGTAAGCTGGATTATATAACAAAAAATTTAGAAAAGGAAAAAGGACATTTGGATTATTATTATCATTATTATTGTGTTATTTCAGTATGATCATAGTATCATAAAGTCTGTATTATAAATTTCATGATTAATTTCATAGTCTATAATTTTATATCTCCATCAAAAATGTTAAGAGCTTTAGTTATAGCTTTTTCTAAGATTGCTGCAAGAGTAATTTTTCACTATGTTTTAGGGGGTCGTCAAGAAAATCCAATGGAGAATCCAGATCTCTTCTTAGGTGATATAGCTGGCATAGACATTGAAGTAAGAAATAAATTATTTTTCTTTAAAAGAATGAGTAACTGAGCGATTTTTTTAAGTATACAGTTTGCTCATTGAGGTATGTAACAATCCTCTTAATTTACGAAGCTAATTTTAGAGTTGTGAAAGTAGAATCTAGGTATAGTAAAATCTCTGTGAGATACAAGATTCGAAGTTAGCGTTCTTTTCTCAAAAATGGTATGAGATGGAAGAAAAAAGTAAAATATAAGGCAATAGAGAATAACCGATTTAGGAAATCTTACCTCGACGGCATTAATACTAGAAAAAAATACTTTTGAAACACGCATAACTTCCGTTTTAATATTGATTTTTAAACAATAAAGTCAGAGTGAAAGTTAGAGAACACTCTACATAAGTAGATTTATGGGTAATATTTCTTTATTCATTCTTATTTATATTACAATACACAACTGGAATAGAGAGATGTCTATCAACGGTTTAGTGTTCCGTCTAAATTGAAGCCTAATATTGTGTGCAGTATAAACCTCATATTGTGGAAATCTTCGAAACCACACTCTTAGAAATATAATTCTCATTTCCGACCATTCAGCAATCCTTGACCTGTATTTCGTTAGAGAATTATTTCATCCCAATATCACATGCTTTGTGATGCAATGTGAGCTCTCAAATATCTGACAAAAATGTTTCCTCAACTCGGAACCTCATCGCGGAACATCGTGAGAGATCGTTAACTAGAATGACAAAACTTGAACGAAGACTAGATGATCGAAACTATAATAAGGAAATATATGTTTACTTTTGGCAAAATACGTTTCCTCAACGAAGTGACAATAGTTATTACGTCATTTGGACGGAAAGTTCGCTCCGCACATATATCAGGAAACTGTTTCGTCAACAACGAAGAAAGCTTCGTGAAATTTGAGTCTCCATTTTTTACAAAACAGGAAAGAGGCTAAAACCGCTCTATTACTCACCAATCTCTGTTTCCTGTATGCTTGAGGAAGAGAGATATAATTTGTCTACGGTAAGTACTCCCCCCATCACAAAGTCTGAGACCGTCTGCTGCTATGGAAACAAGAATAGCGCATTTCAGATAAAGTAACTTCTCTTCACTCTAGTGCTAATACAATAGACCGAAGAAGAAAATTCCCATCCTCTCGTGACCCGAGTCTGAACAGTGACCCCCAACCCTATTTGAAATAGTTATACCTCGTTGCCATAGTCACCACCATGGGTCCAGACGAATGGCTGGGAAGTTCTTACTTTAGACAAACTATACCTCTTCGCATGCTTCAGAACCGGTTTTTGTTTATATTCAGAGCAGGGAAAGTCAAATATTTACGTTTTGTAATGCTTTAACAGGATAGAAATGCAGTCACGTCTGATCGACAGCGATGGCCGAATGGTGTTATTCCTTACTATATAGACCATACTGCCAGTAAGTAGCTTAAATTTTTTTAATCAATTTTAAATCATCCGTAATGAACACGTATAAAATAAAATTTTGAAATCCTTGCCAGAAATTGAGTCAAAAAGTATACACATTAAAGGTTGCAATTTAGTATTCCATCGATGAAAAAATACAAATACTAACGAAATGTAATACAACTGAGAAAACGGCTAATGAAAATTTTAAAACATGTTAGATTGCTGTGGGAAACAGAACTGAAAGAAGAAAATTAGAAACACCACCGAATTTTATCTGGGAATCAAACTGGTTTTAATGTTTTTCCTCCCACAATCCTCATCGGCCATGGAGAAAATGGTAAAATTGCTCAAATCCGTTCTCCAACTTTTGGTCTTATTTTTTGATGTACTAGTGATAAAATAACTTCCAGAATTTTTCAAACATATAAAATTAACAACAGTAACTCCCACATTAATTTATGACTTTGATGATAAAAAAGCTCTTACGGTGTATTAAAATTGAAAGAGCAATTAATTACGTTCACAATAAATGGCAAGAATATAAATGTAATTATTAAATATTTTAAATAAAACGCACATAATTTTGTTGTGATAGTCAATTTATAATTTTCTTTTATTTAAAGGTGATATGTAAATGTAAAATTTTATCAGAATGGGATACCTGCAAGTGACGTAGTGTTGGTATCTGGATCCTGATTGGTTGTAGAAAAGGGACATTTGTTTACTCTTTTTTCCATTCAATTTCGAGTATGCCAAAACAGTCAAGTATCGATTCTCTTAAGTGACACATTCTATATTCTTGCACAATGATTCTTTCGTAAAGATTTCTATTCTTTCACTATATATTTCTTACTTAACACAAAGACAGGCATGAAGCCATGGAGAACATAAGCACACTAATTAAGCATCGAAGTTGCCAGGTACACAAAACGAAATATATCACGGTTACAATAAAATACTTGAGCAAATAATAAATTTAAGTTAAGTAAAAGAAGTAGACGAGAAGGAATTATATTTCAACAAATTTGATGTGCAATAAAGTGCAGTATTTAATTATTTTATAAAAGCAGTTTTTTCTTTTATCGTGCTTTATACAAAAGTAAAAAATTTTGTAAAAATTAGAAAATGATTTTAAAAATTTATTCATGATGGGTTTACTCAAATTATATTCCTATTCCATAATAATATTTTTAGTCGAACGAAAAAATTTTACAAAAACAAACTAAAGTTTTTTAAATTTTTATAATTTGTTGCAAAGTTAAGAAAAACCCATTATCTCTATGGAGAGAGCCTATTTACATCTAAGAGCACGCTAAATGGATGCCAAGCTCCAAGTGCGAACAAATATCAACATCGCCAACTCCTGAAACGACGTAGCACGGCCTTCTTTCTGCTTATCAAAAACAGCACGAGTTTTTTCCCCCATGATTTTAACATTTAAAAGCTTTTATATGGTTTTGAAAGCATAATTATATGATTTGGTAACGAAATAAAACGGAACTATATGCAGTAGCGGATGATTACTTAAATCCTATACCGCAATGCTGTTTTCTTAACTTGCAACGGTGTATAGTAATAGCCTCAGGTGTTGAAATGTATTTTTTCCCTATAGGTCGATTAACGTATAAAATAGGAATGGCTATGAATCATATATCAAATAAAACTTGTATTACGTTTAAAAAGCGCACGGATGAAAAGGATTATATTAATATATTTCGTGGAAAAGGGTAAGTAGGCATCAGAAAGTTGAATTTCTCGAATTATTTATCAAAGTCTAATTTTTAATTATATCGTACTTCTTGTAAATTTTTCCACGCATTATTTTAATCTTAAGTTGCTAATTCACATAGTTCTGTGATGCAAAATAATATGTAACATAAACTTGCACATCTAAAATCGCAGTGGTGGCATTTGCAATTTTTTTAATATAGAGAGGATATAATGAGATTGAGTTCATTCTTCCTTGTAGTTAAACACCCCTCACCCACTGCCAATTCGTCAACTGTTTTATTTCTGAAATATTGCTATTTGATAGATAGTAATGTACGAAATCGTTGGCACAACGCCTAAAGCAAGATTCAGCTGCTCTCATATTGTTTTTGTGTGGTGTAAACAAAATGTCAGATTTCAAAAATTTAATTCATTATAACCCGAATCAAATACATTTGTATTACTAATTAACCGCCTCAGACGGACAGTTGGTCCACTTTTCAAATGTATCTGTTGATGGAAACACATATGCTTTACGTAGAATTCAAAGTGCTTGACTGTCATTTTTGCACTCATTTTGACCTGTCGCAGAGACTACAATGAGTTCCGAAATAGTCACTTTTTTCATGTATTGTAATAATTGCAAAAATGACTAAAAAAGCAAAAATATAAGATATTGACTCGAATTTATTATAACCCAAATCCATTACATCTTGTATTACTAATTAGCCGCTTCAGACGCACAGTTGGTCACCTGTTCAAATGTATCTGTTGATAGAAACACTCAAGCTTTATGTAGAATTCAAAGTCCTTGCACTCATAATGACCTGTCATGTATGCAATCATTTGACCTGTCGGAGAGACTACAATGAGATCCAGAATAGTCATATTTTTTCATGTATTATGATAATTATAAAACTGACTAAAAAGCAGCATTTTTACTTGGAATGAATTCAATACATTTTATTAATGATGGTAATTGTAAAACACTCTCTATAAGGTGCATGTAAAACACTCTGTATAAGGTGATTGCTAAGTACTCTGTATGAGGTAATTGTAAAACACTCTGCCAAAGGGGATTGTAAAACACTCTCTATAAGGTGAATGTAAAACACTCTGTATAAGGTGATTGCAAAACACTCTGTATAAGGTGAATGTAAAACACTGTGTAAAAGGTGGTTGTAAAACACTCTGCATAAGGTGAATGTAAAACACTCGGTACAATAATTTTGTATAATTAATTCTATATTATTATTATTTTTTTAATTTTAGTTGTTACTCTCATTGGGGTAAAACAGGAGGCAAGCAACCTTTATCTCTTGACGTAGGCTGTGACCCTTTTGGAACCATGCTCCATGAACTTAACCATGCCATTGGATTTGCTCATGAGCACAGCAGATCTGACAGGGACAAATATGTGTACATTGAGAGAGAAAATATCATGGAAGGTATGGTTAAATTCTTTAAAAATATCTCTACTAAAGATTTGGCATGGTAATTGACTAAGAATTTCAATACGACTTACCCTCAAGAGGGAAGTGTACAAATTGCAAATCGTAACTCGGTGATCTGATGACACTCAATCATGTTTAATTAGTTTTAGTAACAAGCATTATTGTTATTACATTAATTAGTGTTTAGAATAGGAACTAAATGTACCAATATCTGAACCAAGTTCTGAGGAAATAGGTTTTTTTACGGCCAACCAAAAGGGATAAGTATAGGAAGAAATTTTTGACAATCGCTTATGGTTGACCTGGAGTAATAATACACTGATACCGAATACAATTAATCTTTGTTTGATGGGATGAACTTTTAAAAATCAATTTTACTTCATCATAAAGTCACCGTAAAAGGAAGCAAATAATAATAAATAAATAAATAAATTTAATTGTTTTAGCTTAATTTTAATTGTGTCTTTCGCTGTTTCTTCCTAAATAAGCTATTTTGGTACCTTCTTCCATTTGCTTCAACAAATGCATTATAAGCCTCGTGACATTTGTGTTCTTCATAAAGAATTTCTTCTGGCTGAGAAAACCGCTACACACTATTTAAAAATGGAAATTTTGACCATATTGACATGCCTTGTTCCGGCCGTTCAGCTGAGAAGAGCTGTTGAAGATACGGGAACAGCACGACATCACCCATACCAGGTCTGAATGTTCTGGCAGGTTTACCGCCATTGCACCTGCAAATCAAAAAAGAAGCACTAGTAGCTAACACACTAAGATTCAATCAAGAAAACACACAATACAACATAAAAGCGGGTGATTATCAACAAAAGATAAAAACACATATGGTCCACCCGGCCCATAAGACTAGTCATAAATACACTAACCTACCAACAAGTACTAGAACCAGCAAAATAACGACGTAACAAGTCTACACCGATGGCTCCAAAACAGACAATGGCGTGGGAGCTGCATTCTGTGGTTACCACAACAACCAACATACAGATACATACAAATTTGCGTTAAAACAAGAAAACACAGTGTTTCAAGCAGAGGTTTTAGCCATCAAAGAAGCGATCAATTGGTTAGAGACACACAGCTGCAAAGATGCAACAGTTTTCACAGACAGTCTAGCTAGTATACACGCTATTAGAAAAACGAAACAAAAAGACCCACACGTGGCAACAACACAAAGACAACTAGAACACCTAATCAGGAAATGGCAACACACAAATACACTGGGTGGCAGCGCACACAGGTAACATAGGCAATGAAGCAGCGGATTTAGCGGCTAAAGACGCAGCAGCAGGTCACGGAATTCCCAACGGTGTTCTGCTTCCACCATCGAGCCTAAGAAATAAACTTAAAAACATCACACGAAAACTTTGGCAAGCATACTGGGACGAAAAGGAAAAAGGCTATACAAAAAAATCATATTATCCTAAAGTAGACACAGACCGACTCATAGGCCATCCAGCAGCAATACAATTCATTACAGGACATGGCTTCTCCCCCTCATTCTTACACAGGAAGCAGCGAATAAACACAGACACATGCCCATGCGATGACACAGGTACCCCAAGTCACTACCTACATGACTGCCCACTAACTGAATCATACCACCTCAAAAAACCCAATGAACAAGGCAGAACGATATTTGCAGACACTTTCAAAAACAAGCATATTATGCAAAAACTAATAAATATTCTAGCCATGACCAGGAACATCACAGACAATATGTCATAAACCTTATAATAACTTTGTAAAAATACTGGCAGCAAATACAATCATAGGGTGTCAGGGCTCCAGGCAAACCATTGCTGCTGCATAAAAACACACTCTGGCCCCACCCCTGACCAGAAAACATTTGGCAGGCAGTCAGTCAAAACAAGCTGTTGTCCGTGAGGCTAATTTAAAAAAAAAAGAAGCCTACAAGCTCGATCCACACAAACAAGAGATGGCTTAACTGTCGATAAACGCACACACAATAATACGCTAATCTATATCATGATCCGCCAAAACACTGCCTCAACTACTACTCATAATAAAAATAGGTAAAGCACACAATACAACATAAACAAAACATACTTACCACGCAATCAACCACGGACTGGCTCACAATAGCAGAAAACGTGACTGATCACCACACATGCCTCCCCACTGACCCTGCTCCCAGTCCCTGGGGACAGATAGTGAATCTGGAGTTTTTCAGCTACCCGTGATGGCCATTTATGTTAAATGTAAAAAAAAATTCAAAAAAAATATTTAAAAATTTTTTAAAAAAAAATAAATAAATAAAATATCTGTGACGTGACTAGCTATTTTATATTGTACTGTTATTGTCGATGTCCATTCTTCGAGTCTGTAATGTAACACTGCTAGTTAATCTACGTAAAATTAAATTGTCGCTACTAGGCCGGGATAGCCTGGTCAGTGGGGTGCCGGGCCCATGTCCAAGAGTTCGTGCGTTTGGTCCCCGCCGGTCAAAGACTCCCCGTGTAGTAAATGGTGACTGATGCACGTTAAATCTGTCGAGTCTCAAAGTCCTCCATGTTCCCATAACAAATCAATACTTCTAGGGGTACCGATCTAGGAGTTTACTTGTCTTCTGGATTGGTTCAAAATTACAAGGCTACGGCGTTGAACATTAGTAGTCGTAAACCCAAAAATTGGGTCGACAGTTCAACGGCGGTTATAAAATAAAATAAAAGTACTGTCAACCCGTATGAAGAATGGTCATTCAGCTAGTGGCTAATAGAAATGATCCCTTAACACGTACACTATTAAATATCGCCTATTATGTGAACGAAAATGTTACGTTAAGTTATGTGTAAGAAATTATGTGAACAAAACCATTAAATTATAAAATGATAATTTACCAATCGCGTTGAAGGCTTACATTTATGATTTTAAATTCCTCGACAGATATTTTATTAATCTGATTAGATTAAAAGTTTTAAATTGCTACAAGTACCTGCTTCAGAGACTGGGAAATTGAAGATTTTTTCATGATTACAGGAAAGAAAGTTGACATTTAAAAATAACTTTTGAAGTTTTTTTTAAAGAAGAACCACGTTTTTGAAATAATTGAAATCGATGAAAGCTACAGCTTTAGATATTTTTGTGTTGTCTGAGTAATAAATGATATAAAGTTTCACTTAATATAATATTTTCCTTTTTTCTCATTTACAGGGTTTGAAAGCCAATTCATGCGACTAAAGAAGGATCAAAATAGATTAATCAATAAATTTGATTACGATTCTATTATGCTTTATGATGAAACTGCATTTTCAAGAAACAGAATTGATAGAACAATTATTCCATTAAAAAAAGGAGTAAAACTAATCGGTCCTCATAAAAAATATGAGATGAGTCCTAGTGATATATACCGGATCAATGTACTGTATGAGTGTAAGGATTATCTGTAAACTAATCTATTAGATGTGTAAAAACAAAATGTGATAAAATGTGAAAATAGAATTACGTTTATTATAATGCATGTTTCAACTTACATTTATAATGCCACACATAAAATACAGATAAACAAAAATGGCATTTTTCATCCATTTGAAAGCTTGAATTTATATGAAAAGATTTTTCTAATGCACTCTATTACTCATAGAGTGCTCTATTTTATTTTTATTTTTCTTAACAAGAACATGGCATGTCGAATATAAGAAGTCTGAAATCACAGTTTTAATTTCTTAATTTAATCACTGACTACCTGTCGTGGAGACCTTGGAGTTTCGAGAAATGTAGGATCTACTTTGAGGAAACAATTCGCAGAGACAGAAGCAGCGGTCCACCGACCTATTCAGGGACGCAAAAGGACAACAATGCCGGATCAAAACCGTTATTTGAGACTTCTAGCCGAAAGTGATAAGTGTCCGCAGCAACGACGCAACTGTTTTGCAACCTGTATAATGCAACAGGAACCAGGTACTCTGTAGTCTGCATCTCTTTGACTGTGAACCACAAAAAAGGACCGTCTAACATAATATCGAGGGCACCCGTCTTGAACAAGGGATGATTGGGGGAGGGTTCTCCTAAGTGATAAGTAGCGAGCCAGTCTGGACAGCAATTCGAGACGTGATCTCATCTAGAGAGAACCCGGGAGTCGATATCGGCCCTCTAACATTGTCGAAAAGGACCACTTTGATGAAAGCGGTCTGATAGTCCAGACAGGCATCATGGCAAACGGGCATACTGATTTTCATGTGTTCGATAGAGGTCTTTACTAGAGATACTCTGATTATAGAGATACTCTGACAAGTCATCGGTACAGGTACGAGATGCTTCCACCATGTGTGAGACTTTCCCGAGGAGTGTATGACTGAATTTCATCTTTATGGACGATAATACCCATCTACTCCAATCGGAGAATATTCAACAATTGGAGAGTCCTATAATATCCCCTAACCTTAATCTCATCGAACGCGTATGAGATGCCTTGAACGTTCAATTGCAGCTCGAAGACCTTCTCCAACGACGATAGGTGAGCACAAGGGTGGTTTGATGCAAAAGAGGGTGCGGATGCGACAGGGATTGATAAGAACCCTGGTAAAACAGTATGTAACGCTGAAGCTCAAACAATGTAGACATAGGTTACTCTGACTGACAGGGTGTCGGTCAGCTGCTGTGCTTAACAAGAGACGGTTTCTTTTCTTAGTGTACAGGCTGTGCCCTTTTTTGTTTTTCAAATATTGGTCTTATAGCTGATATCTTGGTCAGGTTTGGTTCTATTTTCCTTGTTAGCTTTTATTTTTTTTTTTAAAAAGCATTTATCTCTTAAGTTGTTTTCACCGAAGCATCTTGGTTTCCGTTTAACAGACACTACTTTAATATACCTGCTCTCAAATGTTTTCCCAAAACTTATTTCATCCACAGTAAATTGCGTTGTATTTCCACGTTGTTCAAAAAGTATCTTTCTTCCCAACGAAATTTCACCGTCAAAGAAGTAGGCGAATGAGAGAAATTATAAACATGTCACCTAATCACCTTCATTTATTTTCTCAAAAATGCACTTATGTAAAAAAAAAATAATAAACTCCACTCTGCAACGTCTTTTAAAACATTGAAATTACAAAGCTGCCACCCAATTAAAATCATTGAATGCCAGTTATATTTCTCGCCTTTTAACTCATTTTTATGACAAAAGTACACCAAAAAATCCAAATATCAGAATTGTTTGAAAAGGTGATTTAGTATTATACATTGCGTGCCTACTTTTAGATTTTTAATTTACCCAGTATCCTAAAAAATAAGCAAAAACAAGTCAAAACGGAAGTCTTGCAGACCTCATATGACATAATAGTAGCTAGGAAGTTATGAATGGCTTTTATTGTACTGCCTTCAGCTAAAAATAGAGAGATTTTCCGTCATGAATAAGGTGAATAAATATCTTTGTTAATGTAACGTTACTTGTTTAAAATTACGTGAATTTCAATTTTATTTTAAATTATATTTTTTAAAAAATTGTTAAAAAGAAGTATAAAACTAACAAAAGTATTAAATTTCTTATCCAAAATTATAAAACATATAAATTTAGTTTAGAACGATAAAAAATTTAGCCAAAATTCCAAGATAGCTAAGAAAGAACTCTCTGGGGACTATATTTTCAAAAATGCTTTTATTGTCTGTAACAATTTGCGAAAAGAAAAAAAAGTTTTTTTTTTCAAAAAAGATAGCATAAATTAAATTTCTATCTGACGTTTCTAACTTTTATATTGTTTTGAAAACGTATTTGTATGATTTGATAACGAAATAAAACGGAACACGGATGATTACTTAAATCCTATATCGCAATGGTCTTCACTTGCAACGGAGTATAATGATAGAAATAACAAAGCAGAGGTACCATAAGTCTAAGACGTTACGTCACTCTAAAGACATAAATATACAGTTAAAGTTTAATTATATTAGATTCGTATTAAAATGCAGGTATAGGCCTGGATTTCTGAGAGCGCTTAAACGTCATTAAAAACCAAACATCTAGCGTTAACGATCTCATTGGTGCAATATTTTTCAAATATTTGAAAATCATTATTTAATTTTTTTAACTCTTTCAGTCAATATTATTGAATTAATATTTAACCAAGGAAAAACATAAACACAATCAAAGTTTTAAGGTTGCACAGGTCCAAGTTCTTGAATCTGAGAAATTGGAGGAATTTCTCTGTCCAAGAAATTGGATGGATTCGTTGACACTATCCAAGATCTTGAATGTCACTGATTGGTCAGACGAAAAACTAGAGCATGCGCATTGTTCATATTTAACATAAAAAATAATACTTACATAAGTTTGAAATAACTAAATAAATTCATAATAGCACAAAAATCAGTAAAAAATCAATTTATTTGGACTAAAATGTATGAAAACAGATAACAAAATGATATAATCTGATGCCTGCTTGTTGACGCCACAAAACCTAAGATGCTGATTGGTTAAGGGAGAAAAAACTTGGATGGAAAGCAGAACATGCTCTACTATCGTCCAAAGACTTGGACCAAGTACTTGGATGATCGTTTACACTATCCAAGCTCAAAGCAAAACAAGTTTCCATCAATATCAATCAGTCTTCGTCCAAGAACTTGGATCGTCTGAACAGGCCTTAAGGAATCACTATACAAGTAGACAGGCGTGGAAACTTGAAAAACAGTTTTATTACATAACTAGCCGCCTAAGGCGGTCAGCTGTCCGCCACGCTAAAGGTTTTCACAAATAAAGTTTTTTAAAACATAGCAGGAAATCTGAAGATCAGTGAACATTTAAAGTGTTCCTGTCCTGCAATTTTGTCTTAAATTTCTATTTTATATATTATATAGCTACAACGCTTAAGAAAAAAAAACTAAAATGCTAAATACATGAAAAGAACACGAAAAGGAATTAATTTTATATGGCATCAATTTCTATTTCTATATAATTTTTTATGGTATCAATTTCTATTTCTATATCGCTACAAAAATTATCGTCTTCGCTTAAGAAAAAAAAATAGAGCGTGGAAAGAAGAAGAAAAACTTATTATAACTATTATGAACAGCGACAAATATATCAAAGCGAAGCGTTCTATTTACGTATCGAATATGTTGCCACATTTTTAATACAAAAGTTAAACTTTTCTCCACTTTGATAAATGTAAACTAATGCGAACCTTACAATTAAATTATTAATTCCTTCATATATTATTGGTTTAAGTTGTCGAAAATTAATATTTCAATTGTAAGGTTCGCATTAGCATACATTTATAAGAGTGGAGAAAAGTATATGCATTTTTTAATAGTTTTTTGAATATGGCTCTTTGAAAACGAAAAAGCACAGATTTTCTTACAAAATGACTGATAACTAAAAAACTAATCCAAATTTTTGAAAAAGAAAGAAAATACTTCTTCATTATGTCAAAACACAATTATGTGCCGAGTTTCGTGCCTGGGCGAGGCTTCTGGGGCGATATATTGTGATTACAGACACACACACAGCCGCGTTTATTATTATGTATAGATGTACAGATGACAATTGACATAATCATTATTTAGTTTTTTTAATTCTTCTGACAATATTATTGAATTAATATTTAAGCAATGAAAAACTTCAATCAAAGTTTAAGAAATCACTATACAAGAAGACAGGCGTGGAAACTTTAAAATCAGTTTGATTACATAATGACAATTGAATGTCTTTAAAAAAAAATTTAATAATTCTTGATTAACTCCTCATTGTTTACTCCATCAATCCTACAGGTTTCGACCTTTTCAAACCTGTCCTTATATCAATGATACTTTCGATTTACAAAACAACTTATATATTCAGTTATGTAAACATTTCTGAACTTATATCACAACTATAGGATATAGTCTTTTAATAGAGTTATTCTCTGTATTGGTTAGAGAACAGAGCATGTTAACAATAATTTAATATCTGTTTCATCTCGCTTCCCACTCACATTTTAAACAAAATCGACGCAGCTACAATGGCAAGAACTTTGGAATTGAGCTGTACTTTATTTGAAAACTGTAACTATAAAAATGTACTAGCATCGTTTTAGATTAATATGTGATGGAATTTTAATACTGCAGAGGCACTTTTGAAGCTAATTTCACAACTTTATAACACGAAACTTAAACTGTAACTGAACACTAAACTTAAACTGTTACAGAAGGAATATTTTCTACTATGCACGATTTCTTCTATGCTCATCTTCATCTATTGAAAATCGTCAATAGCCATACTTGCTACCGATGCTGTATCAAAAAAGTGCTGATTGTGGACCACTTCCTTCTTTGTCTGGATTTGAAGGAAGGATTTATCAACACCAGTTATTGGGAGGCTAGAAAACTTTCATCCAGATTTACGACTTAACTTTTTTTCTTCTGTGTTTCACTAATTGATCATTTTTATTTGATTGTACTTGTTGCTTTAATTTTGCTTAGGTATCTTCTCTATGCTTAAAAAGAAGTGTTTATTTTAAATCTGGCTTTCGGCATTGGAAATAAATAAAAATGAAATTAATAAAATATATTATTTGAAAACCGAAGTCGATATTTCAAGTTTTAAATAGAAATGAAATTGCTTGTCGCGTTACAGAAGCTTCTTTAAATAAAAAATTATAAATAATTTGTACGTGTTTTAACAACCAAAAAATATTGCTTAAATGACATTTTGAACTTTTATTACTGATCAATTTTGCTTATTCTATTTATTTAAAAAAATATACTAATAATGATTATACTATAAAATTAACTAAAATACAAAGGGTTTTAGGGAATGACTTTGTTAGCTACTTATATTTTTTAAATCATTGCAAAGAAAAAAAATAATAAGGTTGAAATGTACACATTAGGGATTGCCAAATAATATTCAAGAGAAAAAAAGGCAAGCCAAACGAACCCTATTAAGGAAAGCTACCCTACATTATTACCCTGTTTGATTCTTGGAGGTAACAAGAAGGAAAAGAAAAGGAATTATTTTTAACTCCACCAAGCTTCAATAGGCAATCAGACTGACTTTGATATATTTTTCATCTCACATCCCTTACTTGCAATTCAAAAGATTTCTGTAACGTTTTTGTTTCCCTCTCGCTTAATTTTCAAATTGTTAGCCCAATTAGTGTAATTTTTTAAAAGATTCCAAAAATGTACAGTAAATTTATTCATTACTAAACATGCTGAAATAAAAATTAAGTACCATCAGTAGTATGAAACTACAAAACATATGGACGAACTTGATTACAGATTAGATGTTTGTAGTGTATAAAAGGAAGAAGAAATTCTAATTTTTAACTGAATAAATAGCTGAATATATTTTTATTTTATTTTATGTATTCATGTGTGTAATAGCTGCGAAATTATAAATATTTAAAATCAGGTTATTCTATTGTTATAACCTGTACATAATCGATGAATCAATACATTTAATTTGAAAACTAGTATTGTAAGCATATGAAAATAGTTAAATTACAATTATGATAAAAGTTAGTTCAATTGAGGAGGGAAATTCAACGTTGTGGGATATATATGAAATATATGAAACCGCTGTAAAATCTGGCTAAAATTATGCTTTTCCTCAATTTTTATATTTTATAACAGTCGTTAAACAGCCGACCCAATTTTTTTGGGGTGTACGATTACCAATGTTCAACTCCATAGCCTTGTAATTTTGAATCCAATCCGAAAGACAAAGGAACTCCTGAATCTTGAAGAATTTGGTGAAATTTGCCTTCGTGGAGGACTTTATGGTGAAACTAACCCAGATTTGCTTTACTTGCAAAGGGAAAATTTCCTCGGTTAGCCTGACGACAAGGGGACTCTATCCCATGATTCGTCTACCACTGAAGATATTTTACGTCAGCACTGTGGTAGGCGCAAGCCGGGTGCGAATTCATGTGTAACGTATCCATGTAACGTAATTGTGGGTTAATTACTTCAAAAAATCCTCCACGAAGGGTTGTTATCATCAATGTTTGATCCAGGTGTATTCCTGTCTTCCGGGTTGAGCAAAATTACAAGAATGACGAATTGGGCATTGATAGTCGTAAACCCAAAAATGGGTAAGTTGTTTAAAGCCGGTCGTAAAATAAAAAAAAATCTAATAAAAGTTTTAGCACAGGAAATTTATATTTGAGAAGTTACTCCTTTTAATTTTACGTACTCCACACCCGATCATGGAGATTATTTATTATAATTTCGAAAATTAAGAGCGGAGATTGTACTAGTAAACTAATTTCTTTTCCTATCATTAAAAAAGTGAAAAGTTAAGAGAAGTAAAATGATTTCAGAAACATTCACTAATCAACATATGACAGTTTTCATACAATTTCAACAGCTGAAGTTTTCTCGCGCATTTTTAAGATTAAATAAAATCTAAAGTATCTTATTCCAGTGGTTGTCACCTTGCATTGAACATAGGGTTGCTGCGCTATTTTAGGTCACAATGCAAATTTATGTGTTAATATCTCTTTTCTGTTTAGTATGTAAGTAATAATCAACTTAATTTTATTCTTTCGAGCCTTTAAAAAAATATACATTCTTTTTTCTTTTTCTACTGTTCTTAATGTATCTCACTCTAAATAATAATTGCAAAATAAAGATATTACAAGATCAAATATTTCATGAATGTATTTATTGACAAATAGTTAATTATTCATAATGCATTTTTCAAATATTAAATTAATTAAATAAATTTTATTAAAGAATGATAATTGATATTTACGAAATACAATTAACAATTATCCTTTTTATGCATACTCATTTGGTATTTTTCTACAGACTTTGATGCAGTTTACCCAGATGAAAATTTCCATTCGTTTTTTAGAAATACTTTAATGTCTCACAAATATATTAATTTCATTAAGTTTAGAAAATGTTTCTATGGTGTTATCCTACCTTCTGAAAATGCAACATCTTGAATCAACATTCAATATCTTTAATACAACATCATCTGAAAATCAAACATCTCGAAAATAGAAAGTATATTAAATTATTTTATTTTGTTTACAAGTATAACATTTTTTTGATTTCCAAATGCAAATATAAACAAAAGAAGAATGCTTTAAGAACAAATACATAAAAATGTTTACTTTCCCCGCCTAGGCCTACATCTATGTATCAAATAGTCATGTGTTATGTTTGCATCTTGTGCATATAAGGTGTTCCATAATCACGTCTCTTAATATTTATTCTTAAAATCCTGTCAAAAAAATGAAGAAAAGTATCTTAAAAATTGGAAGTCTCAAATTAATCATTAAAAAGGAAAAAAAACTCTTTCATAATCTGGCAAATCACTTCTGAGTATGTCAGGATTAAAAACGTCAAAACATGCTTGATTACATGTGAAAATACGAGGAAGCTAAAAAGGGCAATTAATAGAAAGTTTCACCTCTAAATCAAACACTTCGGAATTTGATAACATTTTTACTTTTTCCGTGCTTAAACCCTTTCTGGAACTGGTTTCACATTGAAAAAACTTATTTTTCGCAATGCATACATTTTTTTTGTCTATACGTTTGAGAAGGATTCTAAAAATGTATATTAACAACGGTGTTTACGAAAGACCCTGTATATTTGTACTTTTGCAATTGATGTATAAATTTAATTCGATGATTTTTTTGTCGTTAATGTGTTAGAATAGGATTTGAGTTATAAATTTATTTCAGGGGCCCGAAGACAGAGGAATCCAATGGAAAATCCAGACCTATTTCAAGGGGACATCGCTGGAATGGACAGTATAGAGGTAAGCTCCGTAACAGACGCCTTCCAACACTACAGCGGGCGTTACAGATTGTTGCACAGTCTGCAGATTATTTTTTTAATCTCATATTTCAAAATAATAATAATAAACTGCTAACAAAACAATGCCCGTTTCTTTAAAGTTAAAGATATTGCCGAATAAAATAGGGATCAAATGAAAGAGTAATGATTTTCTCTCCTATCCTCTTTGATGAACTGTAAAGAATTATCTCTGCCCCTTTTGAGATCTGGCACCCAAAACAATTCGTCGGACTGGTGCAGCTTGCGGGTAGTAAGTGTTTTGATAATGTAACGCAGTTGCAGAAACTTAAGTTTGGGAGATAAGTTTTGACTATGGCCTTTGCCTCATACAATTTTATTCACTAAAATATATCCATAAGAGGTTAAAACTTAATTAAAGTTTTTGAAGGGGGAAATATTTGATTATTTATTCATTCATTTATTTATTTATTTGATTATTTATTCAGTCAGTTATTTATTTATTTTAAATTTTTCACATAAATTTTAAATTGCTTTTCCTCTTCCAGTTTTGAATCTAAGATAATTGTGTACAATTCAAATTAAATTTAAAAAATCATTAATTTTTGTGCAGATTTTTAATTAACAAATGTTTACAGTACTCTGTTGCAAGCTAAGAAAAAACCATTATCCCTATGTAGAGAAACTGTTTGTATCTAAATGTAACGCTAAAATGATGCCAAGCTCCCAGCGCGAACGAATACCAACATCGTCAACTCTTGAAACGACACTGCACAGCCTTCTTCTTGTTTGCATTCTTAAAGTGGGAGAAATGAAAAAAAGAAAAATATAATAATCAATTAACAAGTAATAAGAATTAATAAAAATTACATCTAAAATTCGTAACAAATATACGTTTTTCTATTCGCATTTAAAAAAAACTGATGAAAGAATAATAAATATTGTTCTTAAGACGATTTACCTCTACTGTGAAACAAAAGTAAAAATTCCTGATCTCACACTAAAACACGCCATTTTTCCAATGCTTTTGCAACGTCATATATTTGTTTCTTTTTCAAGAACCAATAATTTCCATAGTTATCGAAATATGTCGTCAAGTCTAGGATTCCTCTACGACTTCGAAACTATAACCTATTTTTAATTATTCTGTGATATATATCGTGAAAGGTAGCACGAATTAAATTTCTGTTCAATGAGTTTAACTTTTATAAGCTTTTAAATTGTTTTGAAAACATAATTTGATAAAGAAATAAAGCAGAACTATAGTCGCGGATGACAACTTAAGTTCTATACCGCAATAGCCTTTTCTTAACTTACAACTGAGTATGGTGCAAATATAGCTATTGTTTGTTCAAGTCAAAAGTTTAGAATAATAGTTTGAAAATATTATATTTGGAGTGCTATATCTTAGAGACTTTTATTGTATAAATCTTGAACTTTTTTTTAGTTTTTTAAGTGCTATAACTATAATTTTATTCCGTCTCTCTTTTAAGCACTATTGTATAGTTTCAAATTAAACTTTCATACTTACATTTTTCTATTTGATTCATATCTATTATTTGCAAATTCATATTGTGTAAATTCATATTATGCAAATTCATATTGTGTAAATTCAAATTCAGATTTTGCAAATTCATATCTACTATTTGCAAATTCAATTATAAGTTTGGTATAGTGTAATTCATACAGTATTAGTCTTCCACCTGATTGCATTTTGGTCGAATAAATTTTCTGATTTGTGAAGATGGTGCTGAAAATTGTCTGAAAATTCTGATATCGGAGTGGAAAAGCTATAATTTAGGATCAGTTAGAGTTTGTTAGGAAATAAAAGATGATTTTTCCCTGTGGGCACCTGAGAGCCTAAGTCAAGGAGGAGGTCCACGCCACACTCCTATTCATAAGGTGGGCCACATTCACACAACAAGCAGAGGGAAACATCCATGTCCTGAGAAGGATTCGAATCCAGAGTCGAGCACGCTGGCCTCTCGACCACCCCACTGGCTACCCGACTTGCTATCGTACATATCATACAATTTTCTTTTCCAAATTTAAAGCATTTTTCATTTCGTAGTGTCTTGTTAATTAAAAATATTTATCTTTTTTTTTACTTCTAGGACAGAAATGCCGTGAATCACAAATCCTTATTGTGGCCAAATGGTGTTATTCCGTATAGATTAGATCCCAGTGCAAGTTAGTATTTTGTAAATAATCAGGTATAAAGTTCGTATTTATTATAAAAAACATTTATTAAAACTATTCTTTAAATTACTCCGATTTTAAAATCAAAGCACTTAAGCAAATCAGAGCTTTTAGGCGAATAATTTGTATGAAATTTAAATATTTAAGAAAAATAAAATTTCTGAACCATTTTCCTACACTTGTCAATACACAATATCCAACAAATTAGCCATCTTAAATACGGAATAAAATTAATATAAATCTTACTTTTTTCTTTTATGAACAGAGAGCTATTTTTCTATCTTTCCATTCTAATTAATTAAAAAATTAAATTTTATTTAATTTTAATAAAATAACTAATAATTAATCATTTTAATAATTAATTAAACATAATTGCCAGTTCTGGAGAAGAAAAAAAGGGCAGTTCCAGTAAGTTCAAAACTAGTTTTTATTCAAAAAATATTGATATTTAAGCTTCGAAAAAATAAGAATTTTTAAATTACTTAAATATTTTCAAAACAATTTTTCATGTAAATTTTGTTTATGATGTTAAATGTGGTCCACAGCACATAACAGTACTATCATAACAGTAAAAACAGCAATAACTAACATCAAATGTTAATAAAATACCTAGATTCATTGACAATACTTCTTTTAATAATATGATATCTTATTTAGATAGGGGGAGTGCTTTAAGAGGAATGAGGCATATATCAAGTAAAACTTGCATAAAATTCAAAGAGCAAACTACAGAAACTGACTACATAAGAATATTTTCAGGACAAGGGTAAGAATAGAAATTTATATATATCTTTATGTAATATGAGAAGAGAGTGAAATGATGACGAATAGCCAATCACAGAACACTTGCAGATAGTGACGCACAAAACAGCCAATTAAAATTAAGAACGCATGTGTGGGAAAAAGTAATAATTTCTAATAATGCTGCTTGCTAAAATGTTGCAACTAAACTTACCATTTAAATATGAGTGGATCCAGTTTTTCCTCATTCATTTCAATATTGTTTTGGTTGTCATCAGCATAAAATTAACAGAAGTCGTAAAGGTATTGTTTTCCTTTAAATATTTTTGTATCCGTAATTTAAAGTTCTTTTCCAGTACTGCTATTATTGGAGAAAATATTAAATTATGATTGTGAACTCATCAAATTTTTTTGAACAATATAACGTTGTAAGAATATAAATGTTATTTTAAAAAATGATTACTTCGAAAAATCACTTCTGTTCACCAAGAGATCTAATTGCTTATAATACTAATAGATAGTAATGTTTGGACGTGGGAAGTAGAGGCACAAGCTTAAGCAAACAGAATTCCTTTTAGTATATACATGTTAGGTGAATAATTTTAACTTTCGTCGAAAAACTGTTTTCAGCCAAGAAAAGACAATTATTGCGAAACAATCAATCGAAACAATCATATATATATATATCTCCNCTATGAAAAAAACATTTTAAGAAAAATAACTATAGGGAAAATTTAAGAACAATATCCTTAACAGGAAAAGTTTATAAATATAAATCAATAAAGATAAAAGAAAATATAAAAGAGTATTAGATTCATACGTATATATAGATATATACAGGGTTATTCATAATTCCATCCGGCGTTTCGAAGCGTTATAGTAAAAAAACGAAGACGAATATGGCAAAAAAGAACATATGAAATTATTCCAAAAGTATTCAAGTTTTAATTTAAGCAGTTGCCGGTAGATAGCAGTAACATGTACCACTGAAGGCAGTTGTAGTAAAGAAAAATGTCGTTTGCGGTCGGAGGGAATTATGAATAACCCTGTATATTAAGAAAATATTGCCGTGTCAAAGCTGAGTTTTGAACTGCCGGTCACTCGCACATGAGACTGACAAATTAGCCTCCTCGGGCAAACTATGTACCTAGCTACAGGAAACTAAGTAGCTTTATAACGTGTTTACCACACACTTTTAAATTATTAGGCATCCAAGGACGAAAAATAAAAAGATGAATTCCTATTCCTTATGTGATGGCCTAACTTCCAGGTTTCGAAGTATGCTCACTTGATTCTCTTTGGCTGAAGATCCAGTATGCACGGATAGAACTTTGGTTATTTAACCATATTAGGTGAAATTAATTAACGAATGATTTTTCTTCCAGTTAACAATTTGAATACGATTTTGTTTACGGTTATTTAATTGTTCTGATTGAATGTTGTAAAATAACAAAAAAACTGCTATTTAACGATTTCTTCGAGAAATTTCTAACAGTGTGTCGTCACTTGGTAACTTTGTGACCTAGATTATGATAAATTCACTATATCCCTTAGCAGAAAACCTTCCATTTTCATCTCTGTTATTTTTAATTCATTATCCAAGTCTTCGGGCATCTTTGGAATTCCAGGCTATATTATAGATCAAAGTTCTGCAGTTTTAATATAACAGTCACCTACTTATTTGAACTATTTATTTTCCACTTCATTTATAAAATACAAAACAAATTATACTTGAGCATCCTAAGGAATTATGTAAAATAATTTAAGATCACTTTTCTTCGTTATTTATGTTTTCAAAACGTTCTCGAAACAGTTCGTTAAGCTTACAATAAAAAAAGATACAAAAAATAATAGCAGGGATACAAGGATAAAAATTGTTTTTAAACCTTATGAAAGAAAACGGAGATGGACACAGTAGATCTTGCCTCTTCTTTGCTTGTCAAGCTACTGAATTTAGAGTTTAGTAAGAGCTTAATTTTAGTTCTTATTTAGAGTTAAAATTGCTAGTTTTGTAAATATTCTGCAATATCCTAAAGTATGTTAATACAATTTGCTTCACTCAGGCTATTAACAGTCATAACCCTTTTTTGGATGATTTTTCCCTTTTTGTGTGAAAAAACTTGCTCCGACAGTAAGGACAGATAGTACAAAGAAGGAAAGAACATCCATGCCTTGCCCGGGATTCGAACCCAGAACCTTTCTGGTGCAAGGACAGTTCTCTAACTCCTACACAGGCCGGTCGGTGCGTGAAAACAATCGTATTTAAAAAACGTATCATGGAAATATCCATCCTCATACAAATTTGCAAGTTAAGCTTAATACAAAATAAGCAAAAAATGTAATTGTATCAATTTTATTCCTTATGATAATTTTAAAACAATTCTCCTCTTGCAACAATCATCTAATTCCATCTGCATCGCTGTACTCGACATCAGAATTTTCTTGACCATCTTCTGATAGCCTACCGCCTGCTAACTGGTCCAAATAATCTTCAATGACCCTCTCTTCTAAATTTCTCTACAAAAGTAATATAAAATAAACATATAGTAAAAAATATTTTCTTCATACATTAGAAGTGAAACAACTGCATAGTGATGTAAATTTCTCTAATGCATAGTGATGTAAATTTCATGGTTTGGGGAATAATATTTGGGGTATTCAATTTAAATTGCAAGGAAAACAAAACCTCATTATTGCTTTTATTAGCAAAGAAATCTCAGATTAGTCATGAGGGAACTTTCTCTCATCATGTAAAAGAAGGGGTAATCATAAATATTTTTTACCAAAAACAAGTGTCCCTTAATTGATTAAAAAAATTTGCAATGTACTTTAATGAATCGAAAAAAGTTTTTCAAAACAAACAAAAGAAATATTTAAGGCTACTTATTTTTTCAATCATAAAACATGGAAGTAAATAATTGTTCTTGATTTCTGGGATGAACAATATAATATTGCTCAAAAGAGAAATAAAATCGCGTTCTACTGTATATGGCATATATTGTAATGAATATATGACATATTTTGTAATTAATATATGACATATATTATAAGGAATATAATATATGTTTTAATGAAATCTTAACACTGATATTTTCATAATGTGTTATTTTTCGTGATAACAGGTGTTATTCTCATTGGGGTCGAACGGGTGGCATGCAACCAGTATCCTTAGGGGATGGCTGTGAGCCATTGGGAACTGTTATTCATGAGTTGACCCACGCTATAGGATTCGATCATGAACAGTGTAGATCTGACAGGGACGATTACATCACCATTCTTTGGGAAAACATAATGACTGGTAAGTAACGATAAAATTCTGCGTAATGCATCAACAGAAAAGCTTACATTTTACCCACTTAAAAATATGCATTGAGAAAAGCGATGTGAAACAATATTTAAAGTAATAGGAACTTATAGTTAATCGATTTATTTTTATATAAATCATAAATTTTTCATATAAAAAATTTTTTTATTCATAAATTAAAAAAATATTTTTAAAATTTATAAAAATTAATTTTTACTTAATTTATTAATTTAAATTAAATTTGTAAAAAAATTAGTTTTTCAAATTTATAAAAAAAAATTTACATACTGGTAAATAGAATACTCTTATGGGTTTTCCCTAATCACGATTTCTAATTTATATGCTGGCTTCGAATTCATGTAAAAAGCGAATTAAAAAATAGTAAGAGAATTAAGGGTCACCATCAATAAATGAGAGAAAAAATTGTTATCGAAATGACGTTATTTAAAATTAAAAACTCAAGCACAATTCTCTATTTTCGATGGATTAGGATTAAAAATATGTTCCAAAATTTAACTTGGTAAAGAAAGGGAGTAGTCATTTGATGAAACAAAATATTTTTAAACAATTCCCATGAAATACGGTACCATCTTGAATACAGTAGATGACAGAAAATAATTTCCATTTACTTAATATGAAAAAGAAAATCACGCGACAGAAAATTTAACACTACGGTTTACTCAATTTTTCTAAATCAAGTAATAATATCCTACTTCAAAGCAACTCCAATAATATACGTGTTGAAGAATCCTTAAAGCACGTAAGACGTTATTACTAAACTCCTTTATTTGATGTTGGTATGGTAAACGTGTCTCCTTGATTTATGGAACTTTTACAGGCATTAAAATTATTTACATTAAATCTTAATTCAATGTAAATAATTAAAATCTGCCATTAAAATCTTAAAACAAGCTTTCTTGAGATAAAATGATAATGGTTCAACAGTAACGTAACGTTACAATAATATTGGTAATTAATGTTATGATTCCTTTCAGGAATGGAAGATCAATTTGATAAGCTGAGACCAAATCAAGAGAGGTTGATCAATAAATTCGATTATGATTCAATTATGTTATATGGCGAGAAAGCGTTCTCCAAAGATTACTATTCTAAGACTATGGTCGCCAAGACACCAGGCATTCGACTGATTGACCCCTATGACAAAAATCAACTCAGTTCAAGTGATATTTACAGAATAAATACACTCTATGAATGTTCTTAGTAAAACTTGTCCAAAGGTTGTTCTATTGGAGATTATAATAAACTGATTCACATGGCACTTGATTCAATAACTATTTCTGTTCCACAAATATAAAACATCTCACATAACGTAAAACAAGTGTGTACAAATACAAAACATATCACATAACAGCGTGAAATATGGGTGTACAATTATTTCTGTTGCACGAAGAACAAACATCTCACATAGCAACGTGAAATAAGTGTGTACAATTAATTTTGTTTTACAATTACAAAACTTCTCACATGACAACACGAAAATGTGCTTACACTTCGTAAAAATAAGACTAAAATGTCTGCACACACTAAAATGTCTGTCAACTAAAAGCTTTTTATAAACTGCTTTTGTACATATTAAGATTCAAAAAATGCTATTTAAGCTAGCAAAACTAATATTTAAATCCCCATTGAGTTTCAAATATCAATTCTTAAACGAGAAAACGGTGAATCACTATTGAAGATTAAAATAAAATAAGATAGTTTTCTTCACCAAAATACACCTTTCAGATTTTATGATAAACTGTGGTGTTCCACTTCTTCAAACAGCCACGATTGCTTCGCATTCCTTGTTGAATCATAACGATAATCAGATTGTTACGCTAAAATTAAAAATTCAGTTAAAAATTCTTATTAAGTTATTGTCTTAATGCAGATTTGGTTTCACAGAATTGTTTTATTAAAATGTCTTGGGAAAACTGCACAGGAATAATTGTAAACATCATACAGCAATACAAGCGTGGGATATGAAGATTATTAAAAACAAATTTATCTTTACAGCTTGAATGATTTTTATGATTGTATGACAGTATTTCGACATTTGTTTCAACTCAAGTTTTTATCAATTTAAATGTTTAATGAAGTTATATTGACCCAATGCGAAATGAATATTGACTTAATGCAAAATGAATGTTAACTTAAAGTATATTTTATTTTAAAACCAGGCGTTTAACCGCCTACCAATTTTGACCTTACGACTATCAATGCTCAACTCCAAAGCCTTGAAATTTCAAACCCAAACTAGAAGACAAAAGAACATCTGGATCAAGGGCAAACAAATCTTTGCCTGGAACTTTTTGATGGATGCATCACACATTTGTGCAACAGGCAGAGGGAAATCACGAAAATCTACCACAAACAGCCCGACCGCAAGAGAATTCAGACCCGCGACTCGTCTACCACTGGGGATATTATACATCAGCATTTTTATTATATATATATTTTCTTCATACATTAGAAGTGAAACAACTGCATAGTGATGTAAATTTCTCTAATGCATAGTGATGTAAATTTCATGGTTTGGGGAATAATATTTGGGGTATTCAATTTAAATTGCAAGGAAAACAAAACCTCATTATTGCTTTTATTAGCAATAATGAGGTTTTGTTTTCCTTGCAATTTAAATTGAATACCCCAAATATTATTCCCCAAACCATGAAATTTACATCACTATGCATTAGAGAAATTTACATCACTATGCAGTTGTTTCACTTCTAATGTATGAAGAAAATATTTTTTACTATATGTTTATTTTATATTACTTTTGTAGAGAAATTTAGAAGAGAGGGTCATTGAAGATTATTTGGACCAGTTAGCAGGCGGTAGGCTATCACGTTCACGTGTAATCCTNATGCACTAAAAATTAATTTTAACTTTTGTCTTTAAAATCATCTACTCGAACCTTGTTCTTTGAAATTCGTAGTCTGACAATTTGTAATGAGAGCGCAAACCTGCATGTGTAACAATAAATAAGTAAATAAATAAATGCTTGGTATAACTTGAAATTGTGATGGCATTGTCTTCGGGTCATCCTCAGCGATGTTTCCCAGACAGTCACCAATAGCCCATTTTGCAGCTCTAGTACGACGTAAATGAACTACAACAACAATATATATATATATATATATCGTAATGCATATATATATATATGCATATATATATATATATATGCATTATGAGCATAGAAAACGTAATGCACTAAAAATTAATTTTAACTTTTGTCTTTAAAATCATCTACTCGAACCTTGTTCTTTGAAATTCGTAGTCTGACAATTTGTAATGAGAGCGCAAACCTGCATGTGTAACAATAAATAAGTAAATAAATAAATGCTTGGTATAACTTGAAATTGTGATGGCATTGTCTTCGGGTCATCCTCAGCGATGTTTCCCAGACAGTCACCAATAGCCCATTTTGCAGCTCTAGTACGACGTAAATGAACTACAACAACAATATATATATATATATATATCGTAATGCATATATATATATATGCATATATATATATATATATGCATTATGAGCATAGAAAACGTAATGCACTAAAAATTAATTTTAACTTTTGTCTTTAAAATCATCTACTCGAACCTTGTTCTTTGAAATTCGTAGTCTGACAATTTGTAATGAGAGCGCAAACCTGCATGTGTAACAATAAATAAGTAAATAAATAAATGCTTGGTATAACTTGAAATTGTGATGGCATTGTCTTCGGGTCATCCTCAGCGATGTTTCCCAGACAGTCACCAATAGCCCATTTTGCAGCTCTAGTACGACGTAAATGAACTACAACAACAATATATATATATATATATATCGTAATGCATATATATATATATGCATATATATATATATATATGCATTATGAGCATAGAAAACGTAATGCACTAAAAATTAATTTTAACTTTTGTCTTTAAAATCATCTACTCGAACCTTGTTCTTTGAAATTCGTAGTCTGACAATTTGTAATGAGAGCGCAAACCTGCATGTGTAACAATAAATAAGTAAATAAATAAATGCTTGGTATAACTTGAAATTGTGATGGCATTGTCTTCGGGTCATCCTCAGCGATGTTTCCCAGACAGTCACCAATAGCCCATTTTGCAGCTCTAGTACGACGTAAATGAACTACAACAACAATATATATATATATATATATCGTAATGCATATATATATATATGCATATATATATATATATATGCATTATGAGCATAGAAAACGTAATGCACTAAAAATTAATTTTAACTTTTGTCTTTAAAATCATCTACTCGAACCTTGTTCTTTGAAATTCGTAGTCTGACAATTTGTAATGAGAGCGCAAACCTGCATGTGTAACAATAAATAAGTAAATAAATAAATGCTTGGTATAACTTGAAATTGTGATGGCATTGTCTTCGGGTCATCCTCAGCGATGTTTCCCAGACAGTCACCAATAGCCCATTTTGCAGCTCTAGTACGACGTAAATGAACTACAACAACAATATATATATATATATATATCGTAATGCATATATATATATATGCATATATATATATATATATGCATTATGAGCATAGAAAACGTAATGCACTAAAAATTAATTTTAACTTTTGTCTTTAAAATCATCTACTCGAACCTTGTTCTTTGAAATTCGTAGTCTGACAATTTGTAATGAGAGCGCAAACCTGCATGTGTAACAATAAATAAGTAAATAAATAAATGCTTGGTATAACTTGAAATTGTGATGGCATTGTCTTCGGGTCATCCTCAGCGATGTTTCCCAGACAGTCACCAATAGCCCATTTTGCAGCTCTAGTACGACGTAAATGAACTACAACAACAATATATATATATATATATATCGTAATGCATATATATATATATGCATATATATATATATATATGCATTATGAGCATAGAAAACGTAATGCACTAAAAATTAATTTTAACTTTTGTCTTTAAAATCATCTACTCGAACCTTGTTCTTTGAAATTCGTAGTCTGACAATTTGTAATGAGAGCGCAAACCTGCATGTGTAACAATAAATAAGTAAATAAATAAATGCTTGGTATAACTTGAAATTGTGATGGCATTGTCTTCGGGTCATCCTCAGCGATGTTTCCCAGACAGTCACCAATAGCCCATTTTGCAGCTCTAGTACGACGTAAATGAACTACAACAACAATATATATATATATATATATCGTAATGCATATATATATATATGCATATATATATATATATATGCATTATGAGCATAGAAAACGTAATGCACTAAAAATTAATTTTAACTTTTGTCTTTAAAATCATCTACTCGAACCTTGTTCTTTGAAATTCGTAGTCTGACAATTTGTAATGAGAGCGCAAACCTGCATGTGTAACAATAAATAAGTAAATAAATAAATGCTTGGTATAACTTGAAATTGTGATGGCATTGTCTTCGGGTCATCCTCAGCGATGTTTCCCAGACAGTCACCAATAGCCCATTTTGCAGCTCTAGTACGACGTAAATGAACTACAACAACAATATATATATATATATATATCGTAATGCATATATATATATATGCATATATATATATATATATGCATTATGAGCATAGAAAACGTAATGCACTAAAAATTAATTTTAACTTTTGTCTTTAAAATCATCTACTCGAACCTTGTTCTTTGAAATTCGTAGTCTGACAATTTGTAATGAGAGCGCAAACCTGCATGTGTAACAATAAATAAGTAAATAAATAAATGCTTGGTATAACTTGAAATTGTGATGGCATTGTCTTCGGGTCATCCTCAGCGATGTTTCCCAGACAGTCGCCAATAGCCCATTGTGCAGCTCTAGTACGACGTAAATGAACTACAACAACAATATATATATATATATATATATCGTAATGGTTTCGTATGTAATGTAAGATGGTTTCAGCATGATATGGAGCCAGCCCATTTCAGCACTGAAGCGTGCTGAGTGCACTATTATGTGAACTGGCATACCAGAATGCCCGTGAGCATATCAGTGCACTTACCAGCATGCCACGTTTGGGGCTCGAAGGATTGGGCACGGTGGACTAGCCCCCAGATAGCAAAACAAAGTTTATGTTCACTCAGCAAAAAACTATGAATGTAAACCCAAAAAGCTTTTTATGCGGTTTACGCGTAAGCCTTCTAACCTTAAAACGAGATCTGTGACAATCTGCTCTATTCTACACACATTACCCTAATCCATAACCTTACAAAACAAACTTCTATATAAAAACCTTAAATCAAGGTTGTCTTAGGGTTTTCAAGCCATCAAAATCTCTTGCATAAAGCTAGTCTTAAGGTTAAAATAATCTTAAATCTAAGTAATTATAAGGTTTCTCTCCGCAAAGTCTTGAAAGCTCAGCTAAAATCCACCTTGTCATGAAATTTTAATGGACAATGCAATTTGATACTATCGTTAGTGTGACGTCACCTAAAGCGTCAATATGGATTTAAGTGACCATTTTACGGATTTAAGTGACAAGTGTAAAGTGTACGGATTTAAGTGACAAGTGTTAAGTGTAAAGCTTTAAAAAATGATTTTTAATCCTTTTAGGATGAAAGGTTTTAAACTGCAATATTTTTGCTATATTAAAAAAATGTTTTTAGTGCAAACATTTTCCTGATTAATAAAAAGAAAATTCCGACACAAGCTTGCCGTAAGGTTACATGCTTTCTGGGCCCCTTGGCCATCCCTATATCCCAATTTATCGACTTTGGACTTCTTTTTATGGGGATATCTGACGAATCTTGTTTATACAACTCCACTTGACTCAGATGAGGATCTCGTTATTCGAATGTCCAAAGCTGCCAATACCTGCCATCTTCGAATGTGTACGGCAATCACTCTACCAACGCTGTCAAGCATGTATTGCTACTGATGGACACGATTTTGAACTGTTATTGTAATCATTACACTTGTCAACAACGTTTTCAATAAACACTTTGTCTTTCCTTTCGTCTCTTATTTTTTATGTTTTGCGTCTCACCGCGTCACTTGCATTCCTATACAATACCCAGAAAGCACGTAACCTTACCCCAACCTTGTGTCTTAATTTTCATTTTATTGTCGCGAAACTTTTTGTACTAAAAACCTTTTTTCAATATAGCAAAAATATTGCAATTTCAAACCTTTCATTATAAAAGGAATAAAAATTATTTTTCAAAGCTTTTCTAAAAAGGATTGTCCCTTAGGTAGCTGAGCATAGAAGACGTTGCGAAAGAAGCCTTATAATTACCTAGATTTAAGATTATTATCTCCTTAAGACTAGCTTTACTCAAGGATTTTCTCCCGCTTGAGATCCCTAAGACAACCTCGATTTTCAGGTTTTTATATAAAAGATTGTTCTCTAAGGTTTTGGATTAGGGTAATGTATGTAGAATAGAGCATATTGTCACAGATTTCGTTTTAAGGTTAGAAGGCTTACACGTAAACCGCAAGAGAAACCTTTTTAGGTTTATATTAAAAGGTTTTTGCTGAGTAAAAATAAACCTTTTTTTGCTATCTGGGATAAACGATTGTTACATTGTCCTACCCTTAAAGTTCGTACCATGAATTAGAGACCACTTTAAAGTTTAAATACACCATTGCATTAGAAATTGACTTATAGTATTCAGAGCTCTAAGTGGCTTCACAATGGTGATATTCAAAACATATTCCCTTTAGTAAATAAAAAATTTCAATTAAAATTCAAAAACCTTTTTGTTTTATCATGACGATAAAAAGAGTAGGAATGCAATTGTATCCTAATGGCAAGAGTAAAAACATTATAAATCAAAATTCGATAATTAGAAAATAAGATTTATTTAACAAAAAAATTTTAGATGGTAAATTGATCGGATCATAAATGTAAAATTTTTCAGACGCAAATGTTTTGTACAGAAAACATGAAAGTTAAGTGATAGTACTCGGAAATAAAACTTGAAGGACAGAAAAAAAATGTCTTACAAATTAAATTCTCGAATTTTTTTTTCTTCAAAAATAAAGGTGAAAATCTTAGATTATAAGTAATTCTATCAAATAGGCAACGCAGAGGGAAAATAGTTTTTTGTTAGTACTGATTTAACTGAGCTCGGTTTTTCACTTAAATGTAATATTTTAATTTTCGAACTTTCGTACGGTGATTATAACGATGTCTTAATTTTATCTTTTGATTTACTTTTTTGTCAAAAATTCTAAAATATTTTGTGTGGCCACAAATAATTTAGATGAGAATAATGACTTCAAGATCTTGCAAAAACTACTTTTTCATTTATAATATTGATCTAATTATGACGAATTTATATTAATTTAAAAATTCCTATTTCAAGTAATCAATTTTAAAATTAACGTGAATCACTTTCGCAGATGAAAAGGCCTGTTAAATCATTGCTATTTATTTAATCTAAAATCTAATTTAATAATTAAATAGCAAAATTTATTAAAAAACTTTCATTTACTTTTAATGCAGTTTTTATAAAACCACTTTCGGATCTATGAAGGGGATATTTTGTTATTGAAATTTTGACCATTTTCCTACTTGCCACTCTAGGCAGTTCACACAAATCTCACTTTGTAGCATTATGCCTGGTGGCAATGAAGGTTTCAATTGTATCTTTGTAACAGGAGGTTTTTACCACCAAATAGAATTATTTAGAAATTATCAACTTTATATTCGGATTCTTTATATTTTGTTTTATAACCGTCGTTGAACAGCCGACCCAATTTTTGGGTTTATAACTACTAATGTTCAACTCCGTAGTCTTGTAATTTCTAACCCAATCCAGAAGACAAGGGAACTCCTGGATCAAGTATTGGGAGAAATTTGCCTTCGTGGAGGAATTTTTGATGGAACTAACCCGCATTTGCGTTACATGGAGTGGAAGACCGCGAGAACCTCCCACATTTAGTCTAACGCAGGGGTAATTGTGAGTCCAAGTCAAAATTCCGGAAAATTTCTTGAGTTTAAAAAAAAAAAAAAAACTGTTTAAATTGAAAAACATTTAAATAAGGTTTTTTTCTTCCTTTTTCTCAATATTTTTTAGTTTATTTAAATTATATTTAAAATTTTACACATGCCTATGATGACCTGGGGAAGTAATTAAAATTTACAAATATGTCTTTCTTTCTTGAGTTTATGATTATAACAGCTATTATCTGATAAAAAATGAATATTAATCATGAATATAAGCTTATAAAGTATCTCTCTGGCTCTCCCTTACAAACAAATAAAATAACTGTGTTTTTAAGTTCCACCTTTGAAAATTTGATTTCCGGAAACTTCCGTGATCAATGATTTTTTGAAACGTCTGGAAATTCGATCTCCGGAAGTTTCCGGATCACGGTCAACGAAAAATCCGGAAATCCGTACTTTTTCAGGAGCACAATCAACTCTGCTAACGGCAAGGGGACTCTAATTCATGATCCTCTACCACTGAGAATATTTCACGTCAGCACTGTGGTCGGTGCAAGCCGGATGCGGAATTCGTATCGACTAGCCATCGCCGGGATCGAATCCCGGTTCACCTCGTTAGAAGGCGAAAGCTTTATCCCCTGAGCCATCGCGGCTCTTATATTCGGATTGGTATTACAATACAGTTTCTACAGAGTAATGTTTTACTTTATTGACAAGATAATACGGAGCAAACTGATGGCAAAAATAATAGACACCATGTAAATAAATATGCAATTCTGAAGTGTATAATTTGCATCATTAAACATTATTCTTCGAAGCGCCACCTGTTAAAGAAATTTGCAGCTAACTTTGTAACTTGGTAATATTTGCTATTTTTTAGGCAGAACGTGATAATCCCCAAACTTTGTTTCCGACAGTTTTTTTTTAAATTCATTTTTCACGTAATCGGTCAGTTTTTGGATACTTGTATTACAGAACTTGCTAGTAGAAAAGGAACTCTTGTTGTTGTTGTCATAAGCTATTGAGGCACTGGGGTTGCTATTGTTCTTGTTGTTCAGTGGCACCATCGATGGCCAAGAAATTTACTTTTACCATACCCGTACGTTACACCCGTTTATAGGGCGGGCCAATTCATACATCCATTTATTCATCCACAGATCGTAATTTTGACACGAACCAGAGAACTATCGATCTCCTATTTAGCACCCAGAGGTATTATTTGTTAGGGAATCATGAAGGACTTTATGACTTGACAGATTTAACTGCACTAGCCACCATCTACTACACGGGGAGACTTCGACCAGCTGGATTCGAACTCCTGCCCTCACGATCGGGAGTTAAGTGCCTTACCAAGCAGGTTATCTCGAGCCCCAAAAGAGACTCTGAAAAGACTCGATACCATTAGGGTGAAAACACTATAGTTAAGTAGTTATTTATTTTATGTTGAGTATTTTAAAGCCATATGAAAATGGGAGTCTTATTTTTTCACGATTTTTATTTCTTATTTTCGTAAACAATCATGAATGAGATCAATTACTTATTAGGACAATCATAGAGGACATTTATTCTGTCGATGTCACTCTTACTGAGCCTTTTTTTGACGTATGGCTCAACCAGCTGTATACCACTTTGCTTTGCTATCATGGTCTTGGATTCATAGTCTTTTGAAAATGCTTTCTCTCCGTACAACATGAGGGAGTCATAATCGAAGCTGTTAATCAATCTCTCTTGACTAGGTTGCAGTTTTTTGAACTGATTTTCAAATTCTGAAGGAAAAAACAGTGCAATATCACTTGCAGAAAAAGAAATTATAAATATACTTGATTAAATTTAAGGCATTTAGTTCAAAACTTAATTCACTCTTGTTTCAGAAAACTTACAGGTGACGAATATTAAAGGTTCTATTATCTCTCCCCCTTTAATATATAGTTTTAGAATTCTTATAAAAAATTAATTCTGCAGGTCGAAATATTCAAGTGAATAAAAAAAAATCCCTATCAAACACTTGTTTCTTTTTATCTTAAATATTAACCCATTGGCGCACAATTTTTATTAGAAATATTTTTAATACTTTATGCATTATTTTGTATTAATTTAGATTAAAATGAACCAAAAATATTATATTTAGCATTTTAATAATTTATAGTTATGAAATACATCATAAGACACTGGTGACTTTTTCTGCATTAAAGGTAAAATCTTCCCTACTCGACTTACTTCCAAACAATAATTTTTCTCTTATTTGTGGTTATTCAAATCTAAGAGAAACAGTTATTCGTCCTTAAAATTTCGCTAACTTACCGAACTAATAATTGATAAATTTTTGAATATGAATGAAGGGAGAAAAAAATTTCTAACTACTTTATTTTAGATTTTGCATTTTAGTCCAAATATGATTCCGATAATATAGCAGATTCTTTAAGTAACTATTAGACTGGTTTTTTGTAATTAAAAAAAAAAACGAAATATATTTTTGTTCGTTATTAGAACGCCAGTAAAAAAATATGAAAGAGATGTGCCAACTACTTCGATTTTAAAACTTATCTTTCTTTCAGCTTAAAAAATTAAGAATTTTAGGGGATGTAAATTAATACCCTTGGCGTACATTTGTTAATTTTTAAAATTTTAATTGAATGCTTCCTGCTCCTGAAAATTTTCAAAAGTTCGTTTTTCTTAGAATCTGCTTTCTTGGACATTTCCCCTTCTCTTGATCTTCGATAATTAATTGATATTAATTTTAATAAGAAGGAGATTGTTCAGCTAATATGTGTCTTACCATCCATAATGTTATCCCAAACTATAGTGAGGTAGTCGTCTCTGTCTGATCTGTTCTGTTCATGAGTAAATCCAATTGCGTGGTTCAACTCATGAATGATGGTTCCCAAATGGTAACAACCGTTCCCTAAGGATAGTGGTTGCGCTCCTCCAGTTCGACCCCAATGGGAATAGCACCTGCAGATCAAATGAAATGTGCAGCATTCTTTTGTGAAAAGTAATGGGTATTAAGGTTTCGAAATACAGTTCAAACTTTTTTTCCTGAGTAAATAAAGTGCATTTTTTCTAAACTAAACAAATATTTTATTAAAAGTATTTGTTATTCTCATTCATTATTCGTCATTTATATCACTGATTTACAGAACATACAATTTAAAAGTAAAAAAAAAATTTTTAACAATACAAACCTGTTTTGGGTGCTCAACTTAACATTACATTTTGTTTTTCTGAGCAAAAAACTGGAATACTTAGGAAGTTAAAATTACTCAGGTGGATTGATAAATGTACAGAAATTAGGATGAAATAAAAAAATAATATTCAATAATTTGTTCTAGAATTATCAGCTGTTATACTTGTTGGAGAAAATGAAATACGGGTTGCTCTACAGGCAGGATGCTCTACAGGCGGGTTGCTCTACATTTTGCTTTCCTGCGCAAGAACTAGAATACTTAGGAAGTTAAAATTACTCAGGTGGATAGATAAATGTACAGAAATTAGGATGAATAAAACAATAATATTCAATAATTTGTTCTAGAATTAGCAGCTTCTATACTTGTTGGAGAAAATAAAATACGGGTTGCTCTACAGGCAGGATGATCTACAGGCGGGTTGCTCTACATTTTGTTTTCCTTCGCAAGAACTAGAATACTTAGGAAATTAAAATTACAAAGGTGGATAGATAAATGTACAGAAATTAGGGTGAAATAAAACAATAATATTCAATAATTTGTTCTGGAATTAGCAGCTGCTATACTTGTTGGAGAAAATAAAATACGGGTTGCTCTACAGGCGGGTTACTCTACATTTTGCTTTCCTGCGCAAGAACTAGAATACTTAGGAAATTAAAATTACTTAGGTGGATAGATAAATGTACAGAAATTAGGATGAAATGAAAAATTAATATTCAATAATTTGTTCTAGAATTATAAGTTGCTATTCTTGTTGTAGAAAATAAAATACTTGTAGCTCTACAGGCAGGAATGCGGCTAAAGAGATAAAATTTGATATGCTGAAATGGCTATACTTTTTATGAACTAAGGATAGGCTTTTTTTTCCGTTCAAAATTGCAATTAGCCGGAAAGTTATTGTAGTATTATTGCAATAAGTATTTATTGCACATAGAGTTTTTCTGCGATAAGATTTAATACGCAAAGTCTATTACACTTAGAAGCTTTAAGTTACGAAAAGATATGTTGTACAGAAAGTACAGGGAGTATGACGGGAGAAAAAAAGAAGTTTTGGTAGTTCGTTGGAGAATTATTAACTGATAAAGTTGCATTAAAAAATACTACGCTTGGTCGATCGTTAGCCCGCTTAAATGCAATTACGGAGCTACAATTACATGTGCTGAAAAGGCTATTTTTATTTATGAATTTAAAGCGAATTTTGCTTTGAAATTAGCAAGTAAAAGTACTAATTTGTGATTTTCTTCAACTTTTTTGCTTTAAATTTTGATTAATTATCCATTTTTTAGAAAACTTTTTCTCCAGCTCTCTGGGAAAAAGGTTTTCCACAACAATGGATAAATAATCAAAATTTAAAGCAAAAATGGTGAGAGAGTAAGAGAGAGAGGGAGGGATAAATGGTCAAAATTTGAATCAAAAAAGTTAAGGGAGAGCGAGATGGGTGGATAAATAATCAAAATTTAAAGCAAAAATGGTGAGAGAGAGAGAGAGAAAGAGATAAATGGATAAATAGTTAAAATTTAAAGCAAAAAAGTTGAGAGAGACAGATTCTGACTAACTAAAAAGTATACTTATTTATTGTTACACATTTTTTCGTTTCTTTCACTTTTACTCAACTTTGGAAATATCTTGCAATATATTTGGTAGAATTTTTGAATTACGATGTTACGCAATAGTACAAAAACTATTTCAATTTTGTAACAAATCTGCTTCATTAATTATGTCATATCGCTGATAATACTAATCTCAAAAAAAATACAAGTATTTACCCATTTCCAGAGAAAATGTTAATGTAGTCAGATTCTTTTGTTTGTTTTACAAAAGTAATGCATGTTTTAGATTCAATATTCTTCATTGCTTGCGAAATCGTAATATTTTCGTAAAGCGTATCTAAAATAAAATTCACCAATAATTATAAAATTCACTTAAAATAGCTGGAAATTTATTTGTTATTAAAAGTTATTAAAATTACTTATATTAAAATAGTATTACTTATACTAATATATACATGTAAAGACTTGCTGATTTCGGTGAATAGCTGGTCCACCTTTTTAAGTAAGTAGAATTTCGAGTATTTCAAAATTTAAAATCGCATAATTTAAACTCAAGACAATATGTAACTATGACAAACTAATATTGCTTAAGTGAGAATGGATTAAAGTTTTGCCTCTTACATGGCATAATGGTAAATTTGTTATTTAAAGTATTTATTACAACATATGCTTACGTAATAAAATATGATCATTATCTTTACGACGCCTTCAAAAAATCAAATTAGTAACTTCGTTAAAATTAAACTGTGCATTTATTTGCTATCATTAATTATGTGAGCCGGTTAAGAAAAGAGTTTTTTTGCCGAAAATTAACGTACTCTTATAAATTTCTTTAAATTAAAAAATGCACTAATCTAAAAGTAAACAAGACATTTTATAGCCACAAATAAACTCTGAAAAAAAATTTAGCCTAATGGCTCTGCTCAAGAACTAGAAAGCAGCACAAGTAAATAAGAATTTGCGCTAAAAAGTGGATGAATAGCCCAAGGAACCCAAAATATTTTATTAAAAAAATAGAAGCAGAAGGAACCACGAGGAAAAAAATTAAATATCCTTAAATCGCGCCAAACTCATAGTTTAAGTGCAGAAGTAAAGTGTGCAAGTACGTAAATAACTACCACTACAAATATTAGATACGAATTCAATAGTATATAATGCCTGTAAACTTAGCTCAATCTTGAGGTGCCTTTTTATAGATGATGGTTGACACTGTCGATAACTGCATTCCCCTATTGGTGACCCGGGCGTGATACGAACTCGCCAACATCGCTGGATAGTCCACATCTAACAGTTGATTTGCTCACCAAATATCGCTCAAAAATCTAGTGAAGTACATATAATTCCTTCGGCCAATAAATAAAGGAAATAAATAATGGACGAAAAAAATAAATAAACAGCATAAGTCAACTAATGGTATTCGTTCATCGAATTCCATCAGAGATAAAATTGTGGAAGTAGAGTAATGTGGCGTAACTACCAGTACAAATATCTAATACTAATTCATTGGTATATAAGACATGAAGAACTATTTTCCTTATGAGGTGCCTTTTGATAGATAAAGGTTGGCAAAGTGGATGATTATTATCACTTACTACAGAGAAATATGCACGATAGCACAAGTTATTGAAGAAATAGTCTGTTTCACCGTCAGTGGTATTATTAAACAAAAATATACTTATTCTTATTTGTCCAAACGGCATTTCAATTTCAGGACTTTTAAATATTTTAATGCTAACAATTAATAATAATAGTCAATTGTTCACATATTTCTTGATCACGAGTTAATAAATACTCTAACTATATGTTATCCTTTAAATGAAAATATCATAAATAAAAAAAAATCAGTACTTATCTGTTATTGGTTCCACGAAGACAAGTTCAAAAGTAAGTTGAGTGGGGATAGTAGTTATGGACTATGCCAACCTTCATCTATCAAAAGATACCCCCAAGTTAACATATCTTGTATACTAGTGAATTACTGTTTAATAATGGTAGTGATAGTTACGCCACAATACACCCCAACAGAATTTTATCATGGATGGAATTCGATGAACGGATACAACTAGTTGCCGTATTTGCGAAAGACCAGGGAACGCTCACCGAATTTTGAGTTTTTGTCGTGAGAGCTGCATTAAGTTCACATTTGTGGGAGTAGTCTCGTGTGTGCAGGATCTTGTTGAGTGTAATTGAGCTTGGGAGGCTAATAACGCAGTCACAAATAGCAAGTCAACTGCTCAACATGGACCATACATCGAAGTGGGCGTTAATTTGGATGTAGGCGAGTCAGCCATGTGGGGAGATAATTATCAGCAATGTCAACCTTTATTAATAAAAAGAACACCCAGATTGAATCGATTTAGCATGTTTTATATACTAGTTACTTTTTAATAATCGTAGTACCTACTACAAAATAATGTTTAATACTACTGTTCAATAATCGTAGGGGAAGTTACGCCACACCAGATTCTGATGAACGCAGGTCACCGGCTATCCAATAATACGTGCATCGAATATTGCGGACATTATACAGAACGATAATTATCGAACACTGCGAATGTTGCTAAATTTTATTTGGGTGCAATATTAAGAATAATCGGTAAAATATTGCGATATAGATTGGAAATTGCATCGAGTGCTAAAATTTGTACTCACTTGGTCCTTATAGCGGATAAAAAGAAGATGAAAGGTTGCTTGTAAACAGCAGGTCACCCCAAGCTTAGATAAATTATATATTTAAATACACACATTTAAGACGGTTTAGATCCTGGGTCTTAAGAAAAGAAAAAATCTTCCATGGATCAAACCCACTCTAATTACCAACTAAACGTACCAAATAGGGTGCCTTGGGATATTCATCCACTTTTAGATGCACCTGGATAATTTTTTTTTAAATTTTTTTCCGCTGTATAAATTTACTACTTCAATTACTCTTATTTGGCACAGTTTTTATTATTATTTTTTTTAATTTTAAGGCAATAATTTCGTCATCATTTTAAAATTGATTCAAACGCTTTGTTTATTTTTTTTTAAATATTTAAGCTATAGCAAAAGTGGCACTAGACATAGTATATATTTCGGACATTTACCAAAGGTCTAGATATACTAGGTCTGGTTAAGTGTCATTGCCCGGTATATCCTACACTGATGTTTTTTTAAGGTCAAGTGCCATTGCCCGGTATACATTTGCTCGGTATACCCTACACTAATGCTTTTTTAAGGTTCAGTGCCACTGCCCGGTATACATTTGCCCGATACTCCAAGCACTGATGTTTTTTAAGGTCAAATGCCACTGCCCGGTATACATTTGCTCGGTATACCCTACACTGATGTTTTTTTAAGGTCAAGTGCCACTGCCCGGTTTACATTTGCCCGATACTCCAAGCACTGATGTTTTTTAAGGTCAAATGCCACTGCCCGGTATACATTTGCCCGGTATACCCTACACTGATGTTTTTTTAAGGTCAAGTGCCACTGCCCGGTATACATTTGCCCGATACTCCAAGCACTGATGTTTTGTTCTAATCTATCGTCAGTAAGTATTAAAATATCGAATAAATGTAATTATATCCACGAATGAATTAATATCAAATCGGATATAATAAATATTTCAGACATTCACCAAAGTGACTAATTTGATTGTCAACATTCACCAATGAAAGTCAACAACCACCGATTTCGGCCATTAACAGTAACATGCACATCATTTACATAATACATCAGGACGATTATTTCATACTTTTGCCTAAATAGCATCCGGCATTTCAAAAAATAAAAAACAATTGGTTTTGTTGGCGATGATCTCGTAAGGCGATGAAGAATCATGCATAGTACAGGTAAAGAAGATATTAACCTCGAAGGAAAAGTGGATGAATAGCCCAAGGAACCAAATCTGGTGTTCCCCCTTCTCGAGTTATTAACAAACATACATCTAGACAAATTTTCGCTTTTATACATATAGAGTTGTTACCAATTATAAAATTTCATTAAATTTCCTGTAAAATATTATGATAAAAATACTTACATAATACAGGGTCGATTCTGTAAGGAATGATACCTTGTGGCCATAGCATTCTTTTTAAAGGAACTCCATTTCTATCCTGATGATTGAGAAATAAGCTTAAAATTATTCTAATTGTTGCTATATTCAAAAAGTAATAGAGTATAGCTATTTTCAAAGATAAAAAATAGTTTTAAAAAAAAAATATATATATATATATATATATTCACATAGAATATACATATGGTGGTTTTTGAATTCCAAAATAAATAAATGTGGACAGAAATGAAGTACTTTATTACTTTATAGTGTATATATGCATCGAAAGCGAAAAACTCGAGGCATCAAGCGTTTCACCTCTGGTGTAATTATTTTATTTTCTAGAGCGGAGAAGCAATTTTAATTATTTGAAGAACTTAGTTTAAATATGATATTTAATTCACTTAGCACCAGAATATATTTACGAAAGAAGACAAAAATATTTTTTCCCAAATGCATACTTTCAGGCTGACTTGTATTTTTGATGGAAGAATAATATCAACATCTATACACATGAAGTTTATCGAAATCTAAGCCTGTTTAATATATGCTTGAAATACACCATACTTTTATTGTACTTGATGAGTATCTCATACCAAAAACTTCTCAAAGTTATTGCAAAATTAAAGAAGACTTTCTTTAATTATTTAATGCTAATATTATTATTACATTCATATTTAAACAAATTTTAATATTTTTCATTTTCTATTTTTATTTCGATATGATACAAATTTCGAAATAAAATCATAAACGTAATAAGGAATAAAAGAAATAAAATAAAATATAAAAGAAATAAAATTATAAATGTAAAAATACACACGCCATAAAAGTCCATTTTTTTGATCACTGAAATATCAAATAATAAACAAAAACTTAATTCGAGTAACATTAATTCTGAAAAAATAAATAATTACTTTAAAAGAATTGAAAGATGCTTCTTAATAAATGATAGATGCACTTTATCATTCCAGCTTTACTTTTACGATAAGCAAGTTTTTGTTGATTTCGATCCTGCATTTACTGCAGCCAATTTTTTGATTCAATGGAATCTTAAAATATTTTNCAGTGTACCCGTCCTCCTTTGAAGTTAACCCGTAGCTTCTAAATAATAAATAAAAATATAATCTTCTTTTATTTATTATGTATATACTTTGTATACTTATAGTCCTTCATCAGTTTTGTTCATTAAAATAATCCGCCATTAAATTGAACGCAACACTATATATGTGTAACAATAAATTTAATAAAATAAACAGAGTCTAAGCACTAATGCTGCAATTTTAATGACGACTGGGTACTTTTCCATTGAAGGTGGCTATTAAAAATCCCCAAATGATTGTGAACAAATTCGTGACCAAAAAGGCAACCCTTCACCTGAAAGGTCAGTATGAGAAATGCCGTGGTCAATTTCACTTAACTTAAAAAATATCAGTGTTGGGTTGTTGTGCACCGGACAAACGTATACCGAGCAGTGGTACTGAACCTTGAAAAACATCAGTTTAATGAAACTTAGCAATGGCAATCACATCCCTTGATTAACCATAGAATCAAAAAACATAAACAATGCTTATTGTTTTCTTTAAATATTATTTGTGGTGTTTAATTTGGCGAAAACATTTAACCATCGCAAACGGAATCCTTTAACGGAAGAGTACCCAAAATTGATGTGAACTACAAGTTTATTTAACGTGTACGGTGTACTAGTTTATTTATTTATTGTTACACCTATGTAGAATTGTGTGCTCATTAGATTCAGGGACTTATAAGACCTTTTCAAGTTACGAGAACATATAGCACACCAAGACAAAGACACATCCAAGGATGCGGTGTGATTTGAACTCCCTACCTTCTGGGTAGACATCTGGAGGAACCGCTCGGTTAAAGATGTCCTTGTGTAGTGTCTGATATCAACGAAAATAATAGGTTGTTAATCATTTGATTAAATATTGTTCTTTAATAGCAAAATTAAAGAAAGCAGTATTTTGCTCTCGTCCTGGAAAATTATTTTATCGTTGTAGTTCATTTGCGTCGCACTAGAGCTGCACAATTGGCTATTGGCGACTGTCTGGGAAACATTCCTAAGGATGATCCGAAGACATGCCATCCCGATTTTGGCCCTCTGCAGAGAGAATGGCACCCCCGCTTCGGTACCCTGATGACCTGCACGCGAAGTCGAGCACTTTACAGCAGAACAGTTTAACGAAAACCAATACCGCACATCCTCGGTCCCTTCGCAGACTGATCCAAGTGGTCACCCACCCGCACACTGACCGCAACCAGTGATGCTTGACTTCGGAGATCTGCTGGGAACCGTGTCTTAACGATCAGTCCACTACCGGACGAAAAATTATTTTATACATTCAGTTTTTATTCATTATTTTCTAAATGTAATGACGTATTTATAGAATAAAGTAAATTAAAAGAATGCTTACTAAAATATACTACTTACGAAAATATTTTCAACACCAGCAATGTCACCTTGAAACAGATCGGGGTTTTCCATCGGGTGTAGGAGGTGACCCCCTTTAAAAATGTAAAGAAATAAAAAAATTCATGGGAATCGAAACAACAACATACATTGTGACAATTTTTTTAAGCAATTTACTAAAATTTAAAAGTGTTCAAAAGAATTTTTTTTAGTTCATTTAATTATAATTTAAGTTTATTTTTAAAGTAAACTGAAACAGTAAACTAAACTTCTTTGACTAACACAATCATTTTAGAAATGAAACTAACACTTTTGAATTGTTTTTATTCCGTTTACTCTTGATAGTGTGTAAATTTGAAATAATAAATCAGAATTTCGTGATACACAGAAAGTCAATAATATTCGTCACGATTAAAAAAATATGACTATCAAAGCAACATATTTTTTAATAAAATTAGCTGAATATTTTTAAAATATTTTATATAAATATTTAATACTGTATTTATTAGTTTTGAATAAATGTTGTTTTTATTTTTTTAGCATGTGTTATTTAAATTCCTTTTAACAAGTGTTATTTAAATATTTATGAACATATAGTACTTAAATATTTTTGACGTATGTTTTTAAATCTTTCTGAATACAGGTTATTTAAATATTTTTGACGTATGTAAATTGCAAATTTTTAGCATAGGTTATTTTAATATTTTTGATAATAATTTAGTTAAACAATTGTGAACTTGAGTTATTAAAATATTTTTGACCTATGTTGTTTAAATATTTCAACGCATGTTATTTATTTTTATAAGGTGATTTCCGTATTTCTAATAATTGGATGACATTATAATTTTTTTTAATTTATTTGTTTTTAAAACAAAGGAAATTATATATGTAGGAAACTTACATGCTAAACCGAGTAGACATAAGAATATACAAATCTTCATGATAGATGGTGCTTTCTTTACTCCTAGGAAGCAGGTACCAACTTTTTTTTTAAAAATTTCTACCTTTTTTTAAATTTTCAATTATTTATTATCTCTCAAATATGAGAGCCAGCAGCTGTTTCATTTGTTTTTATCCTTTTGACGTAGAATTTGCTTTGAATATATTTTTCATACTTTTTACATTATTTTGTATCAATTTAGGTCAAAGATACGGGAAAAGTATTATATTTAGCATTTTAATAATTTGTGCTTATGAAATGCCACATGAAACACTGTTATCATTTTTTGAGTTAAAGATAAAATTTTCCAAACAGGGCTCACTTCCAAATTTCAAATTTGTAGTTAATTAGGTCTAAGAGAAACAGTTATTCGCCATTGAAATTTATTTAATTTACGAAACCAATAATTGGTAAATTTTTGAATCTGAGGGGGAAAAAATAAAAATTAACACAACCTTTTTTTTTTGGATTTTATATTTTAGTACAAATATAATTCCGATAATCTAGCAAAATTTTTTTAGCAACAATTATACTTTTTTATAATTAAAAAACACCAAAATACATTTTTGCTTGTAATTAAAAAGCTAGAAAAAATACATATAAGAGGGACACTGGTGTCTTATCTGCGTCAAAGAGTTAATATTCCAGTCGATCATGGTTTGGCGCCTCACCTCAGCGCCAAACCATGTAGCGCCTCACCTCAGAGTCCCCTCGCAAAGCCGAACATCTCAATCGATGGTTCCTGTCCGTAAGTTAATTATTCGAGCATAACCGGCAATTTGGGTCAGCGAGAATGCCGATGCAGCAGAGGTGGTTCGGCAAGCAATCATGGCCCACCGCAAGTATGGATTCTGCAACAGCTTTATTGCTGGGCTTATCGGCAATACCCTGTTCTAAGCTGTTCCTCCAACTTCTTGAAGAAATTCGAGAAGTGAGCAACGCTTTCCAGTTTTGTCTCTAAAAATGTTTGATATAGAGTTTTGCCGAATGAAAGGATTTAAGAGTGCTTGGCTGTTGAATTATTTGAGTGCCTTTCTTAGCCAGCATATCAGCCTGTTCATTGCCGTAGATATCGCTATGTCCTAGGATCCATTGGAGTGTTATTTGTCGCCCTTCTATCGTCAAACTCTCCAGGAGAACCTGGCAATCCTGGATAGTCCAAGAGATAGGGATTTCACGAGATCTAATAGCTTGAATGGCAGCTTTGAAGTCAGACAGTATAACTGTCCTATTGTAAGATCTGGAGAAAATTTGGGTTAAAATAATATTGCTTCATGAAATTACTTTTCTTTTCCGAGTTGAACTTTTGGAACCATACTTCTCCAAAAAATTTTTAAACATAATCCATCTAAAATAGAGAACTGTGTTTGAGTTTTTAACTTTAAATAACGTCAGATTTCGATAACAATTTATTCTCTCATTTATTGATGGTGACCCCTAATTTTCGTACTATTTTTTTAATTCACCTTTTACATGAATTCGAAACATATAAATTACAAATCGTGATTAATGAATAGCCTGTAACAGTATTCTATTTACCAGTATATAAAAAAAAATTTATAAATTTCAGAAAAAAAAATTTTTATGAATTAAAAAAAAATTATTTATTAATGTATTAAAAAATTTTAATATGAAAAGTTTATGATTTATGTAAAAAAAAAATAAATCGATTAACTATAAATTCCTATTATTTTAAATATTGTTTCATATCGTTTTTCTTAATGCATATTTTTAAGTGAATAAAATTAAAATGAGGGAAATTCGAACTTTTCTGTTGATGAAATATCGTTACTTATTACTCATTATGTTTTCCCAAAGACTGGTGATGTAATCGTCCCTGTCAGATCTACACTGTTCATGATCGAATCCAAAAGCGTGGGTCAACTCATGAATAACAGTTCCCAATGGTTCACAGCCATCCCCTAAGGAATGTCACATATTCATTACAACATATGTCATCTATTCATTACAACATATGTCATCTATTCATTACAACATATGTCATATATTCATTACAACATATGTCATATATTCATTACAACATATGCCATATATTCCTTACAACATATGTCATATATTCCTTACAACATGTCATACATTCATTACAACAAATGTCATACATACATACAACATATGTGATATACAGTAGAACATGATTATTTCTCTCGTTTGAACAGTATTTTATTGTTTATCCCAGAAATCAGGGAGATAATTGTTTATTTCCCTGTTTCATTAATAAAAAAAGTAGCTTGTAATATTTATTTTGTTTCTTCAAAAAAATTCTTTCGACCCACATAAGGAAATTCCAAATTTTTTTCTTCATTTTTTTAAAGATAGACGTAAAATTAATTAAGGAACACTTATTTTTGGTAAAAAAAAAAGGAATATATGATTAAATGCACAGATTTCAGTGATGAAGACTTGTTGAGTAAAGATTGTGGAATTAAATAAAAGTAAATATTATATAAATGTTTTGTACTATTACGTAAATTATTGACGTAAGAATGCTTCGAAACATTAGATAAACTTCTGGAATAATGCTGCATATTTAAAAATATTCGGCCAAATCATAATCAATTTAAAAATATTTATCTCTTCGAAAATTTATATAATCTGTATCTGAACAGGATTAACAGGGACATTTAAGACGAATATAACAGGTGGTGAATCTCACATAACAGAGATATTAATTTACTTATAAATTTTAAAAAAAAATTGGTACTTGCTTCTTAGTAGTGAAGCAAACATCATCAATCATGAAAATTTATATATTCTTAGGTCTACTTGGTTTGGCGTGTAAGTTTTTTTTATAGTTTATTTTGTATTTAAGAGAAGTAAATTAAAATTTGTTATAGATGCTATCTGATTATCGGAAATCATTGTATAAAAATATTTAAATTACGTCAAAAAATATATCAGTAACTTAATTTCAAAATGAGAGCAAAAACTGAAAAAGTTGTGATCTTCTTATTACGATTACTGGTTATCCATTGGTCAAATGCTTTTTCCTTCTGGATTGACTCCGTTAAACATTTCAAATCATGGGTTGCAAAAACTGTCTCAATTCATGTTTCTCGTCGGATTGGTTTTTAAATCCTACCTAAATACTTTTCCTTCTTCACCATTCATATTTATATTAAAATCATCGTCAAGACAGTCATTGTAAGTTAATAATAAGAAGAATGTAAAAATTCTTTAAATTATTACCATGTAAATACATTAAAAATGCCTGCTAGTGAAAATAAAAATAAAAACAGCAGCTGTCTCCATAGCAACGCATGCAATGACGAAGCATGCGCACTGTTTACTATTACTCTTGAACATAGTTGAAACATGTGGCGACGTCCAAATCAGTTGCGCGCGCCATCAAACCCTAAACGACATGCCAATGGGTAATGAGATTTTTTTTTTTAAAAGGCAACTAATTAATAAATAGGCACTGGACAATTCTACGAAATCACGCACTGAACTAAAAGATATATATTGACACAGTAAAGCTAAAATAATTCCAATTTTTCTTTATTTCTTTTTATTTATGATCTCCCGGTCATTTAATTAAGCGAAACATGTTTATAGTTGTTCATCCCATCAATTAAAAAATTAACTTCATTCTGAATCAATAAGTATGGAGCTATTAATCGATGCCAATTCGTGATAGCCGAAATTTACCAAAATCAATTAATTTTCTCGCGTACTTATCCTTTTCGAGGACTTGTAACTGACCTTTTCCCACAGTACCTATTTTCAAACTGCATAGTATAGATTGAGTTTTAATAAGTAAAAATATATTAATAATTCTGTACCTATGTTAGTATATTTCATGCATTTTAAATCTACAGCAGTTACCACAAACTACAGCAGTACCAGTATTGCGTATTATCTAAACTAATTAAGCACCATCGGCGTCAATAATAGTATGGTAATTTTTTCACTTTTCTCCGAAACGAATTAGTACTATTTCTGCCTTAATTTTGATTTTTAATAAATAGATTTTTTTTATTTCAGTTGGTAAGGATTTATTACAAAAATCATTTAATGATCGTTAGAGTCAATAATAGTATGGCCTTTTTTTTACGATTCTCTTTAACGACTTAGTACCATATTTCCTTTAATTTCGCTTTCTTTCGAGCCTATTCTGATTTTTTTAGTTCAAATAATTTCTATTAGCAAAATTAATTAAGCACTATTGGCGTTAATAATACAAGTAGTATAAGGATTATTTACTGTTCCCTTAAATGAATAAATACCATTTATTAATTATTATTTTTTTTGTTGCTTTTTTGTACATATCTTATTTTTGGTTCAATCACAATTTATAACGATAATTAATTAAGCTTTATTAAAAGCAGTAAATGTTTGGCAGCAGTTTATGATTCACCAAAATGAATAAGCACAATTTCTCCATTAATTTGGTTTTTTAGTAAATACTTTTTTTAAAATTTCAATAATTACCTAATACCAAAATTAATCAAACATCATTAGAAGTCAGTAAAAGTAAAGCCATTTTTTACGTTTTTCATAAAGGAATTATACTTCGTTTTTCATCAATATTTCTTTTCGGCATATACTACGTATTCAGCATACATATGCTTTTTCAAAGTTAAGTGCCACTATATATATATATATACATGTATTTATTTATATATATA